ACTGGGTGACCTTCCAGGTCAGGTCAATGACCCGAAAACCGGGAAAATCGGGACCTGTTAGAAAGTCGTAAAGTGTGGCTGCTATGGGGTTGTCCGGGGTGCTGATCACGAATATCGTGTTAGTTTTGATCAGAGATGATGTCTTTAAGCATTTAGACCAGGTCGGGTCCGGTCAGGTCAGGTCAACCGGCAGAGGTTGTGACGGGTATTCGTAATACGTGTCAACCGCCTCTGACAGCTTCGTAAAATGTTACGAAGGCACCAAAACTACTTCGTAAATGTTCAAATGGCTGCTAAATTCGATTTCAGGTTCAAAAACTAGCCTAGAAACATGTAAAACTCGAAAAAGTGAACCGAGGTCACCCGAGGTCACCAAAGGTCAACGACCTGACCTGACCTTCAGATGACCTTGAAACCCAATCTAATGTATGGGAGCAACATCAAATCACATGTTTGAACGTTTGAAACCACGAAAAGCTTGCAAACGCGCGGCTAATGCGAGCCAAAATACGCCAAATCGCGATTCCGGCCAAACTTGGTCTTGGAAAAGAGGTCACAGGTCAAAGTTCATTTAGGTCAGGGTCATGAAATTTTCAGGGTTGGTGCAAAATTGATCAATGCGATGGTACTAAAAGTTTCGTCGCGATCGGCCGCTTTTTACGCGAGTTATTCGCGAAAAACCTTAGGGGGGGTTGCATCACCCCCCTGTGCCGCCGAGGGTTAAGGGGGGGGGGGGGCACTCCCGACTTTTGGGCCCATTCTTTCCATGCAACGCCCATAGGGCTAATGTTAAAACTCCCAAATCAAAGGGGGGCACGGTGCCCCGGTGCCCTCCCCGTTCCGCCGCCTATGGCTGATCCGGAGTGTGTCTTTACGCACCACACTTAGGGGAAAGTGGGTGTATTGCGCCCTCCTAACCAATTGCGCCCACCAACATTCCCACGAATTCAATGGCATGTTTATAATTTTGTGTTCGAAAACAATATTTTCACCACCTGATAGTTCATTTTATGGCCCAAGCTCTCCGACGAAGGCAATCAGCAGGGCTCAGTTACGCCATCAAAGATATTACGGCGTTTTCTTAGCTTTTTTGCAGTATTTTGAACCGTTGGCTATAAAAATCTGTGATACGTGTGTGATTTTCAGAGTGGTATTTAGAAAGAAAGCCCATTTTTTCATTATATTTCACTTAAACAGTAAACTACCTTCAGCATATTTATGACAACTTCTACGCTTTTATTAAAAAGTACCTCAATTCTAATTGCGCCCATGGCAATTGCGCCATGGGGGCGCAAATAGAATAATGGTGTAGCTATTGTATCACGACAGTATGAATGCACCATTATCTGATTGCAATAAAGAAGGAGTTTAATGCCAGGCAGGGGAGCAGCCCGCTGTCGCCAGTCCGCAAATTATTTCTCTCGTCAAACTTATAATGCAGCTGCCATTTAGGTTGCCAACTTGTGGTGTAATTGACAAAATACGGCATTTTCAATATGGACTCGGGCGTGAGAGGTGACAGCTATGATCAAAAAGTAAAAACTGATGTCAACAAGTTGTCGAAACGATAAAAATTAATAATTTTGAGAGAAACGATTGAAAATTTAACCATACTTTCACATATATCTAGTCTGTTACATAAAACCAAACATACGGACACATGTAAAGTTATTTACCTGGGCAAAAAACATCGCTATTTATACCTACATTTATTATTTATCCAGCCTGATTAACATTATACAGGGTGGACCAAAAAGGATGGAAACATTTTGAACTCGCATAAAACATGCAGTATTGCATGCATGTGACTGGAAATGGTACCAAACGAGAGTACATTTCGTGGAAATTCATAACGGCATCACTCTCATCTGCTTTCTCTCGTTTTCAGTCTCTCACAGCAAATGTTCGAAGAGACTACTTTCGCGAGACAGGCACAGAGCGGCCGGTCTGGTGGCTGACGCGATAGCCCGACGACACATGTTCGCTGGTATGGCTCACACAGTCTTGGTGATCGCTCTCTTCAGATCACAGAGACCTTCCTTGTAGACCTGGCCCTTGAGATGAGATGATAAAGAAGTCACTGCACAGCAGCAAGGTCACCGAAATGGTGTGCCCTCAGCGGAAAAGGAATTGTGGGTCCACCTTTGTTCGAGGAAGGGAGCGGCGACACTGTGACCGTCAATCAACAGCGCATACCAGGCGGCGCCGAGAAAGTTCTGAGAGCGAGTCCAAACGAAGCATGGCAGCCTCATCATAGACCTTATGTGGTTCCAGCGAGACGGTGCGCCTCCTCACATCGCAAAAACAACGCTCAAGTGCATCGAAAACCACTTCGGTGACCGGCTGATATCCCGCGGTGCCAGTCGGAACTGGCCTACCTACTCATCCGACCTGACCCCTATGGATGTTTTACTGTGGGGTCATCTCAGGGACCAGGTCTACAAGGATGGTTCAGAAAGCCTCTGAACTGAAGAGAGCGATCAGCAAGGCTGTGTGAGCCATACAAGCGGGCTATCGTGTCAGCAGCCAGGCTGATCGCTCTGTGCCTGTCTGGCGAAGGTGGTCATTTCGAACATCTGCTGTGAGAGACTGAAAACGAGAGAAAGCATATGAGAGTGATGCCATTATGAATGTCCACGAAATGTACTCTTGTTTGGTATCATTCCCAGTCACATGCATGCAATGATACATGTTTTATACGAGTTTAAAATGTTTCCATCCTTTTTGGTCCACCCTGTAAATGTTTAAGTAAGCCGCAATGACATTACACTGCCGGGGTGTATGCATTCCGTCTCATTCGCTTAGCCATGTTTAACCCTCGCCGGACCTATTGGTTTTCTACATACGCGCCGGCCGAGGGGGGGGGGGGGCGGGTACGACCCCCCCCCTCGCCGTTTCGCCCCTGGTGGAGCTAGCGCGTCGCGGAAAAAACGAGCGTGTGCGCCGTTACGAGACGCAGAGATTGGTACCCGATTTTAAGGTCCTAGGTCAACCGGTGACCTCTGAGGTCAGGTCAAGTGCCCCAGGGTACGGTTCAGTTTTTGGTGAATAACTTCGCAAAAAACGGCCGCAGAGCCGCGATTTTGGCAGCATCGTGTTCGCCTTGCTCAGGCGCGTCGAATGATATACTTTTTGTTCGGGTCAGGTCAACTTAGGGTGTTGACCTCAGGTCAAGGTCAGGTCAGCACCCCCAGGTCACGAAGTTGGTCGAAAGAGGTCATGTCGCATATCATTCGATTCGGCAGGTCTTTCTGAGTCCATTGGTGGCTTTCCCGACTCGCTAGCTCAATTTGATCGGGAGTTATTGACGAAAAACTAATATGACCTTGATGACGTCATAAATGACGTCACGGAAGGTCAATATTGCAAAAGTGACGCATCTAACCTTGCAAACCTTGCAAGGAGTGCATCAAATCACGATTCTGTGTGCTTGAGATAGTTGGAGATCGTTTCCGGCGCCAGAATAGCAGTTTTAATTTTTCCCCATTGACTTATAATGGCCAGGTCACGAAAATGACCTGACCTCATATGACCTTTAGGAAAAATCCGAGATATACAAATTGTGAGACTCATAATGGATACTAGATCCTGCAAGTTTCATTTCCCTGTGACATCTCCTCTGGCAGTGAGGGCGTTGCGAAGTTGCGACATCTGAAGACCGTGCAGAGGTTCACTTATGACGTCATAGGTCAGTGACCTGACCTGACCCAAAAATGCGGTTGGTGTCAAAAGATGCGGCTTGGATCAAAGGTCAGGTATGCCAAGTTTCAGCTCTCTATCGACAGCGTGTTCGGAGCTATCGCGAAAAAAACCTATGGGGGGGCGGCACCCGCCCCCCCCCCCCCTCGGCCGGCGAGGGTTAAGTATAGGGCGCAATTGGATTCTAATTACGCCATCCCCCTGGCGCAATTTACAGCAGTTGTCGGTAAATGCGCCCTTTTGCATGTTTCTGAAAAGCAGCTGTCGGAAGCACACGAAACATTCTTAATTGATCGGGAGGCTCTTAAATCGTAGCTAATGAGTTCCTCTTTGAAGTGGTTACCAGTGCATGCTTATATCTCCAGCGGTTTTCTTACAATTAGCGTTTTTTCCTTAAGGTGGCGCAATTCACCCTCCTTCCCCTAAGTGTCAAGACACTTATAATTCAATGGCGTAGAAGTGGTTTGGTGTAAAATTAGATAGAAATTCAGAAATAAATAATATTTTGAAAAAAAATAAACAAACATTAAAAATAAATTCAGAAGAAACAAACGATAGTTGCTTAAAGGGACTATCCCACCTTCTAAAATGTTGTTAAAACCAGTTAAATTGTGCCCGACTTTATAGATTGGATGACCAGGAACACGGTTCTGGCATTTATTTTTCATTAAACATCTTAGGCTTCCCATATTCCAAACACAAACTTTCAAATATGTGACGTCACAGCCCAAAATTATCTCCTTCCCCCAGGCCACATTACTGTCATAAAGCTGATTCTTTTTACTCTGTAGGCACCACAACAAAGTTCAGACCAAGTTTTAAGCGATTTTTCAACGAACAAACCCATTTAAATCAGAATGACTAAACGAGGTGACGTCACACTAACGGTCGCTCCATGTTGAAGATAGGGCCTTGTACAAGGCTCATTTTAAAATGAAAGGAACGAATTTCTTCAACACCAAGAGGCCGCGGGGGTTGCAACCTAGATAGATAGTGGTTTCTGAACCTCGCCGCAAACTTGGCTATCTCAACTCAAATCCCATGTTAAAGGTGGGATAGTCCCTTTAACCCGCGCGGCGCGCACCGACGGGGGTCTGCGCCAACTTCGTACTGATGGGGGGGGGGGCGGATGACCGCCCCCTCCCCCTGAGATCTCCAGAACGAAGCAAGATAGCGACAAGCGGTAAACGGCATGAGGTGCGCACGGACAAGGTCTACAATTTTTATGTAGGTCGTTTTCGGGTCAGATCAAAGATGACGTCACAGGGGTCACAAAAGTCAAAATGGCGGCGCTAGCTATGGATAAAGTTTTTCTCCAATAACTTTCGAATTGGTCAAGCTAGGAACAAACTAAGGGCATCGTCGTGATCCTCTCGTCAATCCGCATCGAATCATATATATGTTGACCTCTAAAGGTCAAGGTCAAAGGTTGAACTCAGGCCACGTGACCTCGAGGTCATTATGTATATCATTCGATTTGCCTTGACGAGCTGAACACAATGAGATCATCCGCGCGGCTGTATCTTGTTCCTGTAAGGAGTTATTGGCAAAAAACCTTCGGTGACCTTTGATGACGTCACATGACCTTACAGCTGGCCAACAGCAAAACAGACCTCAAGGTAGTGAAGGTTGATCATATAGAAAGTCATGTATGGTATATGGGGCCATTCCGACGCGTTTTAGTGGTAAAAACAGGGAGTTGATTTTCCCCCCATTGACTTATAATGGGGAGGTCGAGAAATTGACCTGACCTTAGGTCATCGATATCAAAATTCCGAGATTTACAAATTGTAGCTACAAATGACCTAAGAACATCCTGCGACTTTAAAAGGCCTCCGTCATCTACTGTAGCTCTGACACGGTGACAAAGTTGCAAAAAGGTGACTTGAGGTTGGGTCATTTGAAGTGACCTGGTGACCTGACCTCGAAAGTTAGGAGGTTCAAACTTGCACACCATGTGTAAAATTGACGAGCAAATAGTCGTACTAAATTTCACAGCGCTACGCTCCGCGGTTTTCCCGCTATTCACGAAAAACCTCAGGGGGGGCGGATAACCGCCCCCCCCCCCCGTCGGTGCGCGGGTTAAACAATATTCGAAGTTACGAAGAACTTCGAATACAAAGAGCCCCTCACCATTTATTTTCGTAAATATCTAGGGGTGCCGTATACACAAAAATCTTACCTGATGAGCTTGAAGCAGGCTCCAGTACACTCTTGGCATATGTGACTGAGGAGGAAACATTTGTTAACTGCAGTTTGTTCATAATCAGTGGACTAAAATGCTGAGGGACGTTTGTCGGATATCTGTCATACGTAAAAGACAAATGGCGAATTAAAAGTATATGTATAATATATATATTTATTTATTTATTTATTTATTTATTTATATAATCATTCATACAATAATCCAGGACTGATTATTGGGACAATTACAGGGACACTAAAACATAATGCCTAGTCTTACCATTACCTTCCACTGGGTTTGACGAAACCTCCGGCTGACTTCCCGGCTGCGCCTCTGGCTGTTCCTCTGACTGAACCGCAGGCTGCTCCTCTGACTGCTCCTCTGGCTGAGATTCTGGTTGAGCCTTCGGCTGTGCCTGTAATTGAGCCTCTGGCTGTTCTTCTGACTGGGATTCTGGTTGAGTCTCTGGCTCTGTATCCAGTTGACCCTCTGGCTGAGCCTCAGGCTGCTTCTCTGTCAGCTTCTCTGGCTGAGATTCTGGCTGAGTTTCCGGCTGGGCCTCTGGTTGAACCTCTGGCTGTTCCTCCGGCTGGGCCTCTGGCTGAGCCTCTGGCTGTGCCTCTGGTTGGGGTTCCGGCTGTTCCTCGGGCTGAGCCTCTGGCTGCTTCTCTGTCTGCTCCTCAAGATGAGATTCTGGCTGAGTTTCCGGCTGTGCCTCTTGTTGAACCTCTGTCTGTTCCTCAGGCTGTGCCTCTGGTTGTTCTTCTGGTTGAGATTCTGGCTGAACCTCAGGCTCAGCCTCTGGCTGCGCTTCCGGTTGGGCTTCCGGCTGCGTCTCCGGTTGGACCTCTGGCTGTTCCTCAGGCTCCGTTTCTGGCTGCTCCTCTTGCTGAGATTCTGGTAGAGTCTCTGGCTCGGCATCTGGCTGGGCCTCTGGCTGGGCATCTGGTTGGGCTTCCGGCTGTTCCTCTGGCTGAGCCTCTGGCTGCTTCTCTGTCTGCTCATCTGACTGGGATTCTAGTTGAGTCTCCGGCTGTGCCTCTTGTTGAACCTCTGGCTGTTCCTCAGGCTGTGCCTCTGGTTGTTCCTCTGGTTGAGATTCTGGCTGAACTTCAGGCTCAGCCTTTGGCTGCGCTTCCGGTTGAGCCTCTGGCTGTTCCTCAGGCTCCGCTTCTGGCTGCTCCTTTTGCTGAGATTCTGGTAGAGTCTCTGGCTCGGCATCTGGCTGGGCCTCTGGCTGAGCCTCTGGCTGAGCCTCTGGCTGAGCCTCTGGCTGTGCCTGCGGTTGGGCTTCCGGCTGTTCCTCGGGCTGAGCCTCTGGCTGCTTCTCTAGCTGAGCCTCCGGCCGTGTCTCCGGTTGGGTCTCTGGCTGTTTCTCAGGCTCAGCTTCTGGCTGCTCCTCTTGCTGAGATTCTGGTAGAGTCTCTGGCTCGGCATCTGGCTGGGCCTCTGGCTGAGCCTCTGGCGCGACATCTGGTTGGGCTTCCGGCTGTTCCTCTGATTGAGCCTCTGACTGCTCCTCTGGCTGCTTCTCTAGCTGAGCCTCTGGCTGCGTCTCCGGCTGGGCCTGTGGCTGTTCCTCAGGTTGCGCCTCTGGCTGCTCTTCTTGCTGAGATTCTGGCTGGGTCTTTGGCTCGGCATCTGGCTGGGCCTCTGGCTGAGCCTCTGGCTGGGCATCTGGCTTGGTTTCCGGCTGTTCAGTTGGCTGCTCCTCTGTCTGCTCCTCTGGCCGAGATTCTGGCTGATTATCCGGCTGTGCCTCTGGTTGATCCTCTGTCTGTTCCTCAGGCTGCGCCTCTGGCTGCTCCTCAGGCTCCACTTCTGGCTGCTCCTCTTTCTGAGATTCTTGCGTCTCTGACACGGCATTTGGTTGGGCCTCTGGCTGAGGCTCTGGTTGTGCCTCCGGTTGGGGTTCTGGCTGTTCCTCTGGCTGAGCCTCAGGCTGCTTCTCTGTCTGATCCTCTGGCCGAGATTCTGGCTGAGTCTCCGGCTGGGCCTCTGTTTGATCATCTGGCTGTTCCTCAGGTTGTGCCTCTGGTTGCTCCTCTGGTTGAGATTCTGATTGAACCTTTGGCTCAGCCTCTGGCTCCGCTTCCGGTTGGACTTCCGGTTGCGTCTCCGGCTGGGCCTCTGGCTGTTCCTCAGGCTCCGCTTCTGGCTGCTCCTCTTGCTGAGATTCTGGTAGAGTCTCTGGCTTGGCATCTGGCTGGGCCGCTGACTGGGCATCTGGCTGGGCCTCTGGCTGAGCCTCTGGCTGTGCCTCTGGTTGTGCCTCCGGTTGGGCATTCGGCTGTTCCTCGGGCTGAGCCTCTGGCTGCGTCTCCGGTTGGGCCTCCGTCTTTTCCTCAGGCTCCGTTTCTGGCTTCTCCTCTTGCGGAGATTCTGGTAGAGGCTTTGGCTCGGCATCTGGATGAGCCTCTGGCTGAGCCTCTGGCTGGGCATCTGGTTGGGCTTCCGGCTGTTCCTCAGGTTGTGCCTCTGGCTGTTCCTCCGGCTGGGTCTCTGGCTGAGTATCTGGCTGTGCCTCCGGTTGGGGTTCCGGCTGCTCCTCGGTCTGAGCCTCTGGCTGCTCCTCTAGCTGAGCCTCTGGCTGCGTCTCCGGTTGGGTCTCTGGCTGCTCCTCTTGCTGAGATTCTGGTTGAGTCTCGGGCTCGGCATCTGGCTCAGCCTCTGGCTGCGCCTCCGGTTGGGAATCTGGCTGCTCCTCTTGCTGAGATTCTGGTTGAGTCTCGGGCTCGGCATCTGGCTGAGCCTCTGGCTGCGCCTCCGGTTGGGAATCTGACTGCTCCTCTTGCTGAGATTCTGGTTGAGTCTCGGGCTCGGCATCTGGCTGAGCCTCTGGCTGCGCCTCCGGTTGGGCATCTGGCTGCTCCTCTTGCTGAGATTCTGGTTGAGTCTCGGGCTCGGCATCTGGCTGGGCCCCTGGCTGTGCCTCCGGCTGTTGCTGAGGCTGGGCCTCTGGCTGCGCCTCTAATTCCGTCTCTGGCTCCACCTTCGGCTCGGCATCTGGTTGAGCCTCTGGCTGTTCCCCTGGCTGAGTTTCTGACTGCGACTCCGGTCGTGAATCTGGCTGTTCTTCAGGCCTCGCCTCTGGCTGTTGCTCTGGCTGAGATTCTGGTTGAGTCTCCACCTTGGTATCTGGTTGAGCTTCTGGCTGAGCATCCGGCTGTTCCTCAGACGCCACTTCCGGCCGGATCTCTGGCTGGGCTTCTTGCTGGGTCTCTGACTTAGCCTCTGGTTGGATCTCTGACTGAGCCTGCGGTTGGACCTCTGGCCGTTCCTCCGGCAGATCCTCCGGTTGGGTGTCTGGCTGTTCCTCAGGCTGCGCCTCTGGCTGAGAATCTGGCTGAGTCTCTGGCTGTACCTCCGACTGAATCTCAGGCTCGGTCTGTGGCTGAGCGTCCGGCTGGGCCTCTAGCAAATCTTCCGGTTGGGCCTCTGGCTGCTCCTCAGGTTTAGCCTGTTCCTCAGGCTGAACATCTGGCTGAGCCTCTGGCTGAGTCTCTGGCTCGGTCTCCTGCTGAGCCTCTGGCTGCGCCTCCGGCTGCTCTGGCTGAGCCTCCGGTTGTTCCTCAGGCTGCACCTCTGACTGAGCATCTGGTTGAGTCTCTGGCTGAGCCTCCGGCTGTGCCTCTGGCTGAGTGTCTGACTGTGACTCTTCCTCTTGCGGAGTATCCAGCTGTTGTTCAGGCTGAGGTTCTGGTTCCAGAAGGCTCTTTGATAGGGACTTTCCCGGATCCTCGGGCTGGTCTTCACTTCCCGCCTGATTGTCTTCGGGCTGATCTGTCTCACTTGCTGGTTGAAGTTCCGGTCGCTTTTTATCATCAGAAATGCCTGTGAACAAAATTCTCAGATCACTTGATGCCAGACCAATTGATGCAAAGTAATGGTATTATCATAATATTGAAGTAAAAGTGGTGAAAGAAATAAATCTATTGAAGCATTAGTTAAATCTTAAAGCTATTGAACCGTAAAGATACTTAGTTCTTAATTTAACTCGTTCGTGGTCTCATAATTGATGTTTTCCTAAGTTCTCATTCTTCACAGGTAACCGTCGAAGGACCTCGACAGGTGACGGGATAAAATTATATGGGGAAGATAAGGATATCACGTTAAACGAGGGTGAATATTCTTGCAAGCCACGTTTTTCAAACTTATATCAAATTTGAACCTTGTTTGGGCATTTGTTTATTTTTTAGATGCTTTGTTTTGCAGAGTGTTTGCATGATTTTCTGTTTCACGGTGCTGGCAATTCTTACCTCACCCGTGCTGCTTTGCAAAGACGATAGATGCCTCCTTCCTGTTCGTCTTCATCGAATTTAAACACGATTACGGTGCCTACAAGAACCTTGAAACAAGCCATCAAATGAATTTTTTTTTCAGCTAAAATTAAATGTCACTTAGTAGGAAGGGTAAGTGCACTTCACATAGAACATTATACCTAGTCTCTAATATGTCCACGGTTAATGTATCTTTTCATTTTAAAACCAGTAAAGCGCCTTTTGGGCGAAGAACGAGCGAGCGAGATAGTGAGCCCTGCACGTGCGGAAGGGCGAGAGGGTGCTTCCAACGGGCTTGCGCAAAGCACCCTTCTAACTGGTCGCTAGCGGTGTGCCAAATTTGAACGCAATCGGCCCAGCCGTTCCTGAGATCTGGAAGCGGCATTCTGCACGTGCGCACGTGCAAACGGGGTCCAAAATGACTTTTGCACGGCATCCTACTAACTGGTCCCCAGCCGTGTACCAAATTTGAGCGTAATCGGCCCAGCCGTTCTCGAGATCTGGAAACGTCCCCTGCACGTGCGCACGTGCAGTAGCACCCTAACCGCAACACATGGGAATGCATTGCCTGGTGGGTGCCTACCTGTATGCCAAGTTTCAGCGAAATCTCCCCAGTAATTACCGAGTTACTGAAATGGGAACAAATTTGGCACCTCTTATTGTTGTATTTTGCACGTGCACTGGGGATGACCCACATGCATCGAGAGTATCCTATTTTGGGTAGAAGGGATGCTGCTACTCTACTAAAATTACCGCAAGTCAATCGCCCAAGCGGCTGCTGAGATATGAGCCTCTCAAAATCACTACTTTTGCAAAACAGCTTGAACACCCTTGACTTTTCACGTGGCACGTGCCACGACGGTCACTGAGATGTATCAAAAGTAGTCAATTACGGGGTAGAAGGGATGGGGCTACCCAACAAAAAAGACCGCAGGCCAATCGGTCCAGCGGTTGCTGAGATATAAGCCTCTCAAAAGCGTTACAGGCCGGGCCGGGCCGGGCCGCTCATACTGAGATTTTTCCGTTATATTGAAAAGACTCACTTCGCTCGCTGCGCTCGCTCGCTCGTAATCAGATCTACCCTCCCTTTGATGTCACTGCTCTTCAAAGTAAAATGAAGATAAAACTTGAGCATTGAACCTAAAAGTTAGTTTTGATTAGTGTATCACAAAGGTATTTGACAGAAAATTTATCATTTCTTTCGTATAACGGCAAATAAGAATCGTTGTATACTTCATGTTTGAAATGTTCATTTGAATGATTGGAAATAATTCGATTGGATTTTAATGCTAATTCAAAGAACTTTGCAAATATGAAGTAGAATTTCCCGTCAAGAACTTCCTTGTGATAAGCTTAGACGTTTAGGTCCAATGCTCAGTTTAATCCTCATTTTACTATAAATGGCAGTGACATAAAAAGTACGGTACCTACATACAATTGTAAAATGAAGCGATACCATAACCGCGGAAATATTGAAGACTAGATTTAATATGCTATGTGAAGTGCATTTACCCATTCTTCTCGATGAAAATGTATTTTCCCCGAAAGGAAAGCCATTTGATGGCTTGTTTCAAGGTTCCTGTAGGCACCGTAATCGTGTTTAATTCGATGAAGACGGCAGGAAGAAGGTATCTATCGTCTTTGCAGAGCAGCACGGGTGAAGTAAGAATTGCCAGCACCGTCAAACAGAAAATCATACAAACACTCTGCAAAACAAAGCATCATAAAGGAAATAAAAAACTCAAACATGGTTTAGATTTGATATAAGTTTAAAAAATGTGGCATGCAATAATGCTCGCCCTCGTTTAACGTGATATCCCAATCGTTCCTAGACAATTTTTCGCCACCAGCCTAGATACTTCGATGGCGTCCTTTGAACAAGTCACAAAACCCTCGCCGGCACAGGCCATTTTGCGTCCTTCGACGGCAGAAAGGGGGGGGGGTTGGTACGACCCCCCTCGCGTTTGGCCCCTGATCGAGCTAGAGCTTTGCGGAAAAACGAGCGTGTTGCCCGTCACAAGAGGAAGCCGATGATACCCAATTTTAAGGACCTAGGTCATCGGGTGACCTTCCAGGTCAGGTCAATGACCCGAAAACCGGGAAAATCGGGACCTGTTAGAAAGTCGTAAGGTGTGGCTGCTATGTGGTTTTCCGGGGTGCTGATCACGAATACCGTGTTAGTTTTGATCAGAGATGATGTCTTGAAGCATTTAGACCGGGTCGGGTCAGGTCAGGTCAGGTCAACCGGTAGGGGTTGTGACGGGTATTCGTAATACGTGTCAACCGACTCTGACAGCTTCGTAACATGTTACGAAGGCACCAAAACTACTTCGTAAATATTTAAATGGTTGCTAAATTCGAATTCAACTCCAAAAACTAGCCTAGAAACATGTAAAACTCGAAAAAGTGAACCATGGTCACCAGAGGTTACCAAAGGTCAATGACCTGACCTGACCTTCAGGTGACCTTGAAACCCACCATAATGTATGGGAGCAACATCAAATCACATGTTTGAACGTTTGAAACCACGAAAAGCTTGCAAACGCGCGGCTAATGCGAGCCGACATACGCCGAATCGCGATTCCGGCCAAACATGGTCTCGGAAAAGAGGTCACAGGTCAAAGGTCATTTGGGTCAGGGTCATGAAATTTTCAGGGTAGGTGTAAAATTAATCAATGCGAGGGTACTGAAAGTTTCGTCGCGATCCGCCGCTGTTTACGCGAGTTATTTGCGAAAAACCTTAGGAGGGTTTGCATCAACCCCCCCCCCCCTGTGCCGGCGAGGGTTTAAAAACATCGATTATGGTATCACGATATAATTTAAATGCAAAGCAGTTTTACTTTTAAGGTATTTTCGTAAGATTGAAATGGTGCTTTAATAGTTTTATAGATATTTCTTAGTAGGTATATAAAGATAAACGTACTGTTAATAACCATTGATTTGCTCAACGTGATGACCTTCAACGGATTATCTCCAGCTTCCGTTGCTGATAACTTCTCTTGTTCTTCAGGTATATCACCGTCTTCCAAATAGAAGTATTTGCTGAAAGGCAATTACCACTCTTATCGACGTTTTGGATGTAACGTGACCACCAGTTTGGTTGATACGGGTGTAACAATATTATGGTAACCGATTAATATTTTAATTTGTCAGACTAAATGAATAATTTCCAAAATTTGGACATTGGGTGGATACATTGAAAATATATGTAGATTATGAGAAAATATTCTTTGTTGTGATTTCTATGTAAAAAAAACTCGACATTTTCAGTAATAAGTTCAGTAATAAGACATTTTTAGTAAGCACAAATGGCAACAAAACATTCCTTGTCTGATGATGTCCTGTGGGCGAACATTCACTTACTCAAATGCATCACTTTCGACCTTTTACTTTTCTATATTCGAGGAAAACATAACTAGACATCTTTTACGGTCACTCACCCATCTTTTTCGATGATATTATATATTCTGTGATGCAGTGCCCATCTGATAACTGTTCTCAAATTATTATAAGGCAGCAACACTGTGTTCAGCGTTAACGAAGACGGCAAGTAGGAGATTGGGAGCGTCTCTGTAAAGTAAAACAAAAATGTTACCAGAAATGCGGAATGCACACTGCACTGAAAAATAGCAAAGTGCGGAAACAAAGCAGACACAGCCATGTGCAATATGTGCCTCGACGTTCCTAGATCTACGCGAAAATTTTTTGTAAAAGGTGCTCACTTTCATCAACGCTGATGTCAACCTCATCACCAGACGGTCCTCTTCGTCGCCTGGAACCTACGGATATAAAAAAGGTGAGGCGTCAGATACAACGGATCTGCAAAACAGCAAATGGCATTACAAAACAATAACCAAATAAATCTAGTGTACCAAACAAATACACAGAAGCAAGCACAGAAGAAACAGGATGAATACGCAAACACCCTGACCAATTCAATTCAATTCAATTCAATTCCAAAAGATCATCTACTTACGCCTCGTACGTATGAACACCATCGACTTGTTGATAGTGATGACCTTCAGCGGATTGTCTCCAGCTTCGGTTGGAGATGATTTTAACTGATCATCCGGCACGCTGTCGTCTTCGAGGAAATAATATTGGCTGAAAGTCAAACACGAGTTTTATTAATATTTGCAGTGTCATTGGCATGGTGCAATATAAGGTGCAATATAAAAACAGTGCGGTACTAATTAAAAACGCAGACAAAAAAATGCAGAACATGATCCATAGTCTGCAGAATTGTCGCAAAATATAAAATGAATCACGGAAATGCTCCAAACGATTAGCATTGCCTCTGTGATGCCCTTACCCATTCTTCTCGATGACGATGTATTTTCCTCTGCGTAGTACCCATCTGAGAGCTTTCCTCAAGTTGCCTTTGGGTACCGAATTCATGTTCAGTTTCAAGGAAGATGGCAGATAGGAGATTTTCAGCATATCTGCAAAAGAAGGCAGATGCGACGGTGATCAAACAGTGAATAGGTACACTGAACAACGAACATGGACAAAGTAAGCACCTAAGTTACGCAGCCATACGCATCTGCAGTATATTTGTTTATGCTCTTATAGATCGATGCAAAAAAGGCTGCAAGAATGTGCTCACTTTTATCAACGCTGTCAACCTCATCACCAGACGGTCCTCTTCGTCGCCTGGAACCTACGGATATAAAAATAAAGGGCGAGGCGTCAGATACAATGGATCGGCAGAACAGCAAATGGCATAACAAAACAATAACCAAATAAATCTAGTGTACCAAACAAATACACAGAAGCAAGCACAGAAGAAACAGGATGAATACGCAAACACCTTGACCAAAAGATCATCTACTTACGCTTTGTACGTTTGGACACGATCGACTTGTTGATCGTGATGACCTTCAGCGGATTGTCTCCAGCTTCCGCTGGAGATGATTTTAACTGATCATCCGGCACGCTGTCGTCTTCGAGGAAATAATATTGGCTGAAAGTCAAACACGAGTTTTATTAATATTTGCAGTGTCATTGGCATGGTGCAATATAAGGTGCAATATAAAAACAGTGCGGTACTAATTAAAAACAAAGACAAAAAAATGCAGAACATGATCCATAGTCTGCAGAATTGTCGCAAAATATAAAATGAATCACGGAAATGCTCCAAACGATTAGCATTGCTTCTGTGATGCCCTTACCCATTCTTCTCGATGACGATGTATTTTCCTCTGCGTAGTACCCATCTGAGAGCTTTCCTCAAGTTGCCTTTGGGTACCGAATTCATGTTCAGTTTCAAGGAAGATGGCAGATAGGAGATTTTCAGCATATCTGCAAAAGAAGGCAGATGCGGCGGTGATCAAACAGTGAATAGGTACACTGAACAACGAACGTGGACAAAGTAAGTACCTAAGTTACGCAGCCATACGCATCCGCAGTATATTTGTTTATGCTCTTATAGATCGATACAAAAAAGGCTGCAAGAATGTGCTCACTTTTATCAACGCTGTCAACCTCATCACCAGACGGTCCTCTTCGTCGCCTGGAACCTACGGATATAAAAATAAAGGGCGAGGCGTCAGATACAATGGATCTGCAGAACAGCAAATGGCATTACAAAACAATAACCAAATAAATCTAGTGTACCAAACAAATACACAGAAGCAAGCACAGAAGAAACAGGAGGAATACGCAAACACCTTGACCAAAAGATCATCTACTTACGCCTCGTACGTATGAACACCATCGACTTGTTGATCGTGATGACCTTCAGCGGATTGTCTCCAGCTTCCGCTGGAGATGATTTTAACTGATCATCCGGCACGCTGTCGTCTTCGAGGAAATAATATTGGCTGAAAGTCAAACACGAGTTTTATTAATATTTGCAGTGTCATTGTCATGGTGCAATTTAAGGTGCAATATAAAAACAGTGCGGTACTAATTAAAAACAAAGACAAAAAATGCAGAACATGATCCATAGTCTGCAGAATTTTCGGAAAATATAAAATGAATCACGGAAATGCTCCAAACGATTAGCATTGCCTCTGTGATGCCATTACCCATTCTTCTCGATGACGATGTATTTTCCTCTGCGTAGTACCCATCTGAGAGCTTTCCTCAAGTTGCCTTTGGGTACCGAATTCATGTTCAGTTTCAAGGAAGATGGCAGATAGGAGATTTTCAGCATATCTGCAAAAGAAGGCAGATGCGACGGTGATCAAACAGTGAATAGGTACACTGAACAACGAACATGGACAAAGTAAGTACCTAAGTTACGCATCCATACGCATCTGCAGTATATTTGTTTATGCTCTTATAGATCGATGCAAAAAAGGCTGCAAGCATAGGTGTAGCAACGTATCTCTTTGGTGAAGAATACCTTTCACCAAAGTTTTATATTGGTGAAGGATTCTTCACCAATCTTGAACAATGCATGTGAGATTGTTCACCAATACTTAGAACGACTGGGTTCGACGGTTGATCTAATGTTAAAAAAAGGAATAGCAATGCCAAACGGGATGAACAAAAAGGCTAAGACGGTAACAGGCACCCAATTATCCCGTCCTTTCAGTTGCGTTATGCACACCTTCTTCACAATTCACGCCAATTAATAAATGATAGGTAAAGCTGAAAACTATATTGAAGTTGGTGAACGTGTAAGTGTGTCTAAGTAAATACCGTGAATATAAAAATGAATTGGATTGTTTCTACTCGTGGGAAATTTGTAGGACTTCAGTCACGAAAAAAGAGCAGTGGAGCATAACTTAACCCGCGCCCTGCTGGGGGGGGGGGTGTTTGAACACCCCCCTTGTGGTTTTTCGCGAATATCTCAAAAACAGCGGCGCGGAGCGCCGCCGTTTTTGGTACACCTTATCATACATCAATTCTACACATGTTGTGAAAATTTCAGACCAAGGTCATTCAAGGTCAGGTCACCAGGTCACTTGAAGTGGCCTCACCTCATCAAAAGTTTCAATGTCTGTCATAGCTACACCGAGTGACCGATCGCTTTGAAACTTTCAGCGATTGCTAAGAGCAATAGCATGTACAAAATGTATATCTCAGAATTTTGATATCGATGACCTAAGGTCAGGTCAATTTTGCGACCTCCCCATTATAAGTCAATGGGAGAAAATTGAAATGCGCCTCTTTTGGACGAAAGACATTATAAACACTCCCAAACACTGAATTACAAGTGGTTTAGACACACTGAACATGAAAATGGTGTCCGTGACCCCTGTTTATGCCCTGAGGTCATTTTAGGTCACGAATGGTATCTAACAGTTTTTCGCAAATAACTTTTGATAGAGGCATGCTAGAGCGATGAAAACGCCTTAGATGTGTTCAGCTCGACAATACGGATCGACTGATATGCAGCATGACCCTTTCCGGTCAGGTCATGACCTTGACCTAGGGTCAATTTTTCAAGTTGACCTTTCAAGGTCAAGTTATAGTTCATTCGATGCGTCTTGACAAGAGGAACACGATGCCGGTAAAAGTAAGCTCGTACAAGGCTTGGGTCAAAAGTTATTGCAGAAAAACTGTTTCCGAAAAAATCGGCTATTTTTGCAGTTTTTGCCCCCTGCAGGCAAAACCGTTGACGTTAGGTCAAATCTGATAGAATTACTCAGAAAGGGCGTTAATAGGGCTATCGAATGCGCTTTTCCGCGGCGCTGTAGCTCTATTGGTTCCCGAGTTATGCGTTGGCTTCTTGGAAATTGTCGACATTCGACCTGGAAATCGGCGAAATTTTGCCTTCAATGACCTCTGGTGACCTGACCTTTGACCTGACCAAAAAATTGACCGAAGTGATTTCCTCATTATTTTTGACGCTCTTTCGAGCGCCGCCTTCCGCGTATCGCTACGTGGCCCAGGAGCCGAGTTAGAAGGGGGGGGTGTTCAAACACCCCCCCGCAGGGCGTGGAAATCCAGGACCCCCCAGCCGGGCGCGGGTTAACCCGCGCCTATTAACGCCCTTTCTGAGTAATTTTCTTAGATTTGTATGTATGTATGTATGTATGTATTGATCTAAAATCCATCCACATAACATGGTTTTTCAGGATTCAGCGTCATGCACAATACAGTAAAATGCAAGAAGGCAATAGGCACTGGCAGATAAAATAAGACAACTAATTGCACTAAAACCGGAATAAAACACAGCACCCCAAGACCTCAGGCTTCGCTGGCCGCCACTGCGCGGCGAAACGCGGTCAGCGTGGGCTGCTCCCTGACGGCCCACGATTTGACCTAACGTCAACGGTTTTGCCTGCAGGGGGCAAAAACTGCAAAAATAGCCGATATTTTCGAAAACAGTTTTTCTGCAATAACTTTTGACCCAAGCCTTGTACGAGCTTACTTTTACCGGCATCATGTTCCTCTCGTCAAGACGCATCGAATGACCTATAACTTGACCTTGAAAGGTCAACTTGAAAATTTGACCTCAGGTCAAGGTCATGACCTGACCGGAAAGGGTCATGTTGCATATCAGTCGATCCGTATCGTCGAGCTGAACACATCTAAGGCGTTTTCATCGCTCTAGCATGCCTCTATCAAAAGTTATTTGCGAAAAACTGTTAGATACCACTCGTGACCTAAGATGACCTCAGGGCATAAACAAGGGTCACGGACACCATTTTCAAGTTCAGTGTGTCTAAACTACTTGTAATTCGGTGTTTGGGAGTGTTTATAATGTCTTTCATCCAAAAGAGGCGCATTTCAATTTTCTCCCATTGACTTATAATGGGGAGGTCGCAAAATTGACCTGACCTTAGGTCATCGATATCAAAATTCTGAGATATACATTTTGTACATGCTATTGCTCTCAGCAATCGCTGAAAGTTTCAAAGCGATCGGTCACTCGGTGTAGCTATGACAGACATTGAAAGTTTTTATGAGGTGAGGTCACATTAAGTGACCTGGTGACCTGACCTTGAATGACCTTGGTCTGAAATTTTCACAACATGTGTAGAATTGATGTATGATAAGGTGTACCAAAAACGGCGGCGCTCCGCGCCGCCGTTTTTGAGATATTCGCGAAAAACCACAAGGGGGGGTGTTCAAACACCCCCCCCCCCCAGCAGGGCGCGGGTTAAGGCATAAGAGCACCCGTGTGTAGCATCTAGTTAGGTCCCTCAATGGTCCAAAAAGCGGCCCCGTTTACATGACCGGTTTACGTAAATCGCAAAGGAGTTCATGTTCATAAGATATGATTTATGCTGGTCTCTCAAGTAGTATACATCAAGGATTAAGCACTTCATTTTCATTGGCTCCGGCCCTCAGGATCAGACCACCATGGGTAAGTGTGAGAGGCCCGCGTGAGACAGATGGCTGAACCTGCACCCAGATCAGCATAAACCCTTTCAGACAATTATGTAAGCCTTGGCACCAATGTAAATTTAAAGGACAATCCAGGGCCCATAGATTCCGGTGAGAACCTTCAGAGGTTTTCGTCAGCATTGCCAGCCTTTAAATGCCAGTATGGGCCTCCAGGAAGGTACAAGCACGGGGTCGTCAGAGGCCTGAACGAGCCTTTAGAGACCCCAGGAGTCTGGGGTCTGGGGTCCCCAGGAGTTTCGGGTAGGTTATAGGTTTAACATGCGCAGTGGAAGGGTTCCGAGAACTATGCCCAGTGGAAGGTGGCGGCGAATGTCGCCACCCCAAGATCTCAGCTCCTACGGAAGTAAAAAAAAAAAAAAAAAAACGGAGGGTGGTTGGGGACGGCGTGGAATAGTGTTGCCAGTTGCAGAAAATGTATGTCCAATGTCCGTCCAACGTCCGGCAGTTAAGTCGACTCTCCGTCCAAAGATATTCAAGCCAGCCATTTGTCCGAAAGATGTCCGAAAACTACGCAATAATTAACACTGAGCACTGTCATTTAATTTGGTTTTAATGAACTAACTATTACCAGCCCAAAAGTATTTTCATATCGAGAGCTGAGCTGAACTTTCTATTCGTCAACCAATGCCAAAAAAAAAAAACAATTCGGCACGATCACTTAACAGAAATGCTGAGGTGTAGCAAGTGATTGTCCAATGCTGTCCAAAGCGTGCTGCCTTTGTCAACTCAAATTCCGAATTGGACATTGGAGGACAAAAGCGGAATTCCGAAGGTCCAAGCTCCGATTGGCAACTCTATTGTGTGTTAACCCGCGCCGCGCCGGGGCTCCGCGACTTCCGCGCCGGGCCGGGGGGGGGGGGTCTGAACACCCCCGTCTAAATCGGCTCCTGGGCCACGTAGCGACACGCGGTAAGCGGCATTCGAAAGAGAGTCAAAAATAATGACGGAAGCACTTCTGTCATTTTTGGGTCAGGTCAAAGCCGGCAGTGAAAATCGGCCGGCAGCGCCCGCGTGCCGGAGGGATTTTTGACTTAACACCCCTGTTACTAAAAAAGAAGTTGCAGGCCGATTTACTCATTGCTTTCATGGCAAGATGCAAAATCCAATGTTAGGCATGTACTGAAAATTTGACGCTAATTAGACGATAATGGCGTGAGATATTTGCGAGAGAAAAAAAAAACAGGAGGGCTTGGCGAAATTCGCCCCCCCCCCCCTCCACTGGGGCAAGGTCCTGTACCTTCTCAGAAGGTTCAGGTGAAATCCTTCACCAATATTTTTGGTGCTCCTACACCCATGGCTGCAAGAATGTGCTCACTTTTATCAACGCTGTCAACCTCATCACCAGACGGTCCTCTTCGTCGCCTGGAACCTACGGATATAAAAATAAAGGGCGAGGCGTCAGATACAATGGATCGGCAGAACAGCAAATGGCATTACAAAACAATAACCAAATAAATCTAGTGTACCAAACAAATACACAGAAGCAAGCACAGAAGAAACAGGAGGAATACGCAAACACCCTGACCAAAAGATCATCTACTTCCTCGTACGTTTGAACACCATCGACTTGTTGATCGTGATGACCTTCAGCGGATTGTCTCCAGCTTCCGTTGGAGATGATTTTAACTGATCATCCGGCACGCTGTCGTCTTCGAGGAAATAATATTGGCTGAAAGTCAATACCGATTTTTATCAATGTTTCCAGTGTCATTGTCATGGTGCAATATAAGGTGCAATATAAAAACAGTGCGGTACTAATTAAAAACAAAGACAAAAAAATGTAGAACATAATCCATAGTCTGCAGAATTGTCGCAAAATATACCTAAAATAAATCACGGAAATGCTCCAAACAATTAGCATTGCCTCTGTGATGCCATTACCCATTCTTCTCGATGACGATATATTTTCCTCTGCGTAGTACCCATGTGAGAGCTTTCCTCAAGTTGCCTTTGGGTACCGAATTCATGTTCAGTTTCAAGGAAGATGGCAGATAGGAGATTTTCAGCATATCTGCAAAAGAAGGCAGATGCTACGGTGATCAAACAGTGAATAGGTACACTGAACAACGAACGTGGACAAAGTAAGTACCTAAGTTACGCAGCCATACGCATCCGCAGTATATTTGTTTATGCTCTTATAGATCGATACAAAAAAGGCTGCAAGAATGTGCTCACTTTTATTAACGCTGTTGTCAAGCTCATCACCAGAGGTCCGTCTTTCACCACACTTTCCTCTTCGTCGCCTGGAACCTACGGATATAAAAATAAAGGGTGAGGCGTCAGATACAATGGATGTGCAAAACAGCAAATGGCATTACAAAACAATAACCAAATAAATCCAGTTTACCAAACAAATACACAGAAACAAGCACAGAAGAAACAGGATGAATACGCAAACACCCTGACCAAAAGATCATCTACTTACGCCTCGTACGTATGAACACCATCGACTTGTTGATCGTGATGACCTTCAGCGGATTGTCTCCAGCTTCCGTTGGAGATGATTTTAACTGATCATCCGGCACGCTGTCGTCTTCGAGGAAATAATATTGGCTGAAAGTCAATAGCGTTTTTTATCATTATCTTCAGCTTCATTGGCATGGTGCAGTATAAGGTGCAATCATGCAATAAACAAAACTTTATTACTATTTGAAACAAACAAAAATGTCAAACATCATATATAGTCTGTAGAATCATTGCGAAATATCTAATGAATCAGATGAATGTCCAAATCCATAATCTTTGTGTCTATATAGCACGGTTTTCATGGGCATTTGTGATCTTTATCGGTAAAAGTAGATTAGCTAACCCAATTATATAGTTAGACACTATCAACACGAAAACGAAAATAAGGAACCAGTATAACGCCTTTTGGGGCGACTAACGGAGCAAGCGAGAGTGTGGGCCTTGCACGTGCGAAATTGCGAGGGGTACCTCCAACTGACTTGTGCACGGCACCCTACTAACCGGTCTCTAGCGATGTGCCAAATTTGGGCACAATCGGCCCAGCCGTTCTCGAGATCTGGAAGCGGCACCCTGCACGTGCGCACGTGCAAAATGGGTCCCAACTGACTTGTGCACGGCACCCTACTAACCGGTCCCTAGCTGTGTACCAAATTTGAGCGCAATCGGTCGAGTCGTTCTCGAGATCTGGAAACGACCCCTGCACGTGCGCACGTGCGGCAGCACCCCAACTCTGGCACATGGGTATGCAGTGCCTAGTGGGTGCCTACCTACATGCCAACTTTCAGCGCAATCGGCCAAGTAGTTACCGAGATATTGCAACAATTACAAAACTGACAGGTCTGTTCGTTTTGCACGTGGCACGTGCATAAGGGGTCACCCACATGCATCGGGAATAGTCCAATACTTGATGGAAGGAATGAAGCTACCATACAAAAAATTACCGCGTGCAAATCGGTCAAGTGGTTGCTGAGATATAAGCCTCGCAAAAGCGTCCGCGCACGGGGCCGCTCATACTCAGAAATTTCCGTTAATCTAAGGGAAGACTACGCTCGCTTCGCTCGCTCCGTAATAACCGATTATAAAGTCCTAATCCACTTTGAATTTAAACTGGTAACGATGAATTCGAGAACTATTAAGCGATTTGAATTTGTTAATCCGGATCACGAGTGCCCATGAAAACGTGGTCTATGTGGTGCTCTCACCCATCCTTCTCGATGACGCTGTATTTTCCTCTGCGTAGTACCCATAAAAGAGCTTTCCTCAAATTGCTCCTGGGCACCGAATTCATGTTCAGTTGCAATGAAGATGGCAGATACGAAATTTTCAGCATTTCTGCAAAAGAAGACAGGCTCGATTATGATCAGAAGCAGTGAAAAGTACGCTGAACATGAGAAAAGTACCTTAGGTACGCAATCATACGGACCTGCAGTATGTGCGCTTATACTCTTACATATAGTCTGCAGAATTGTCGCAAAATATATCTATACAAAACAATGACTGCAAGAATGTGCTCACCTTCATCAAAGCTAAAGTCAAGCTTATCACCAGAGGCTCTTCTTCCACTAAAAGGTTCTCTTCGTCGCCTTGAACCTGCGGATATAAAATGATAGGGTGAGGCGTCAGGTACGATGAATCTGCAAAACAGCAAATGACACTACAAAAACAATGAGCAAAATAAATTTAGAGTATCTAACATAAAGCCAGAAGAAACAGGATAAGTATGTAGAAACCCTGACCAAAAGATCATCTACTTACGCTTTGTACGTTTGAACACCATCGATTTGTTGATCGTGATGACCTTCAGCGGATTGTCTCCAGCTTCAGTTGGAGATGATTTTAACTGATCATCCGGCACGCTGTCGTCTTCGAGGAAATAATATTGGCTGAAAGTCGAACACGAGTTTTATTAATATTTGCAGTGTCATTGGCATGTTGCAATATAAGGTGCAATATAAAAAACTTTGCGGTACTAATTAAAAACAAAGACAAAAAATGCAAAACATGATCCATAGTCTGCAGAATTGTCGCAAAATATAAAATGAATCACGGAAATGCTCCAAACGTTTAGCATTGCCTCTGTGATGCCCTTACCCATTCTTCTCGATGACGATGTATTTTCCTCTGCGTAGTACCCATATGAGAGCTTTCCTCAAGCTGCCTTTGGGTACCGAATTCATGTTCAGTTTCAAGGAAGATGGTAGATAGGAGATTTTCAGCATATCTGCAAAAGAAGGCAGATGCGACGGTGATCAAACAGTGAATAGGTACACTGAACAACGAACATGGACAAAGTAAGCACCTAAGTTACGCAGCCATACGCATCTGCAGTATATTTGTTTATGCTCTTATAGATCGATGCAAAAAAGGCTGCAAGAATGTGCTCACTTTTATCAACGCTGTCAACCTCATCACCAGACGGTCCTCTTCGTCGCCTGGAACCTACGGATATAAAAATAAAGGGCGAGGCGTCAGATACAATGGATCGGCAGAACAGCAAATGGCATAACAAAACAATAACCAAATAAATCTAGTGTACCAAACAAATACACAGAAGCAAGCACAGAAGAAACAGGATGAATACGCAAACACCTTGACCAAAAGATCATCTACTTACGCTTTGTACGTTTGGACACGATCGACTTGTTGATCGTGATGACCTTCAGCGGATTGTCTCCAGCTTCCGCTGGAGATGATTTTAACTGATCATCCGGCACGCTGTCGTCTTCGAGGAAATAATATTGGCTGAAAGTCAAACACGAGTTTTATTAATATTTGCAGTGTCATTGGCATGGTGCAATATAAGGTGCAATATAAAAACAGTGCGGTACTAATTAAAAACAAAGACAAAAAAATGCAGAACATGATCCATAGTCTGCAGAATTGTCGCAAAATATAAAATGAATCACGGAAATGCTCCAAACGATTAGCATTGCTTCTGTGATGCCCTTACCCATTCTTCTCGATGACGATGTATTTTCCTCTGCGTAGTACCCATCTGAGAGCTTTCCTCAAGTTGCCTTTGGGTACCGAATTCATGTTCAGTTTCAAGGAAGATGGCAGATAGGAGATTTTCAGCATATCTGCAAAAGAAGGCAGATGCGGCGGTGATCAAACAGTGAATAGGTACACTGAACAACGAACGTGGACAAAGTAAGTACCTAAGTTACGCAGCCATACGCATCCGCAGTATATTTGTTTATGCTCTTATAGATCGATACAAAAAAAGGCTGCAAGAATGTGCTCACTTTTATCAACGCTGTCAACCTCATCACCAGACGGTCCTCTTCGTCGCCTGGAACCTACGGATATAAAAATAAAGGGCGAGGCGTCAGATACAATGGATCTGCAGAACAGCAAATGGCATTACAAAACAATAACCAAATAAATCTAGTGTACCAAACAAATACACAGAAGCAAGCACAGAAGAAACAGGAGGAATACGCAAACACCTTGACCAAAAGATCATCTACTTACGCCTCGTACGTATGAACACCATCGACTTGTTGATCGTGATGACCTTCAGCGGATTGTCTCCAGCTTCCGCTGGAGATGATTTTAACTGATCATCCGGCACGCTGTCGTCTTCGAGGAAATAATATTGGCTGAAAGTCAAACACGAGTTTTATTAATATTTGCAGTGTCATTGTCATGGTGCAATTTAAGGTGCAATATAAAAACAGTGCGGTACTAATTAAAAACAAAGACAAAAAATGCAGAACATGATCCATAGTCTGCAGAATTTTCGGAAAATATAAAATAAATCACGGAAATGCTCCAAACGATTAGCATTGCCTCTGTGATGCCATTACCCATTCTTCTCGATGACGATATATTTTCCTCTGCGTAGTACCCATCTGAGAGCTTTCCTCAAGTTGCCTTTGGGTACCGAATTCATGTTCAGTTTCAAGGAAGATGGCAGATAGGAGATTTTCAGCATATCTGCAAAAGAAGGCAGATGCGACGGTGATCAAACAGTGAATAGGTACACTGAACAACGAACATGGACAAAGTAAGTACCTCAGTTACGCAGCCATACGCATCCGCAGTATATTTGTTTATGCTCTTATAGATCGATACAAAAAAGGCTGCAAGAATGTGCTCACTTTTATTAACGCTGTTGTCAAGCTCATCACCAGAGGTCCGTCTTCCACCACACTTTCCTCTTCGTCGCCTGGAACCTACGGATATAAAAATAAAGGGTGAGGCGTCAGATACAATGGATCTGCAAAACAGCAAATGGCATTACAAAACAATAACCAAATAAATCCAGTTTACCAAACAAATACACAGAAACAAGCACAGAAGAAACAGGATGAATACGCAAACACCTTGACCAAAAGATCATCTACTTACGCCTCGTACGTATGAACACCATCGACTTGTTGATAGTGATGACCTTCAGCGGATTGTCTCCAGCTTCCGTTGGAGATGATTTTAACTGATCATCCGGCACGCTGTCGTCTTCGAGGAAATAATATTGGCTGAAAGTCAATACCGATTTTTATCAATGTTTCAGGTGTCATTGTCATGGTGCAATATAAGGTGCAAAATAAAAACAGTGCGGTACTAATTAAAAACAAAGACAAAAAATGCAGAACATGATCCATAGTCTGCAGAATTGTCGCAAAATATAAAATGAATCACGGAAATGCTCCAAACGATTAGCATTGCCTCTGTGATGCCATTACCCATTCTTCTCGATGACGATGTATTTTCCTCTGCGTAGTACCCATCTGAGAGCTTTCCTCAAGCTGCCTTTGGGTACCGAATTCATGTTCAGTTTCAAGGAAGATGGCAGATAGGAGATTTTCAGCATTTCTGCAAAAGAAGGCAGATGCAACTGTGATCAAACGTAGTGAAAAGGTACACTAAACATTGAACAATGATCATGGACAAAGTAAGTACCTACTTATTTCGCAGTCATACGTATCTGCAGTATATTTGTTCATGCTCTAATAACAAGTGCTCCGCCACCGGGGAGGGGGGACGGAGGGACGTGTCCCCCCAAATATTTTACATTTTTTACATTACGTCTATGGGTGCCGCATGGAAAGAATCGACTTCATACGGCCTTCGTCCCCCCCCCCCCCCAACCATCGGGTCGTGACGGAGCCCCTGTCTTATAGATCTATACAAAAAAAGGCTGCAGCCTGCAGGAATGTGCTCACTTTTATTAACGCTGATGTCAAGCTTATCACCAGAGGTCCGTCTTCCACCACACTTTCCTCTTCGTCGCCTGGAACCTGCGGATATAAAATGAAGGGGTGAGGCGTCAGGTACTTACTTACATATCCTGATCTCGCTATATGGCTTCCTGGCTAAGAACACAGATAGCTCTTCAAACGCTGCGTTTATCCTGGCGATCGATTTTTCCGAGGTCGTCGACCTGGTTAGCCATGATGTCGTGCTCAGGAAGCTCCTTGACCAGCAAGTTTGTCCCTCCATCGTGCCTTCAGTAGCCAGCTTCCTCAACAACCGGAAACAGGTCGTTCGACTTGGTGGCTCGAATCCTGTCACATCAGAGCTCAGTACCATGTGTGGAACCCCCCAACGGACAAAAATCGCCCCCTATTGCATTTTTGGCTCATACAAATGACTGCGCTGTTACCGAAGATCATCAGTGGAAATATGTGGACGACCTCAGAATCGGCATTCTGTCACCTGCAAGAGACGCAAACATTGTCCTCCAGAGAGCCCAGACGGCCGGATCCACTCTGGAAACATGGTCAGAGAACAATCTCATGAAGATCAACGGAAAAAAGTGTCATATGCTCATCTGCAACTTCTCTCACAACACGGATATGGACGGTACAGTAATCATTAACAACGAACCAGTACCTGTCGTCCCTACCATGACACTTCTCGGCGTCCATATTACTTCTGACTCAACTTCTGACTTAAAGTGGACGGAAAATAATACAAATCATATCACAAAAAAACGCCTCGCGCAGGATGTTCATTGTTCATGCCCACAGTCCTCCGTCAGTTCCATGCAGATCGAAGCGATATCCGCGCCGCCTACATCAGCTTCATTCGTCCATGTCTGGAATACTGCTCTCAACTGTGGCACACGGGACTGACACAGCAACAAGCACAAGCAATCGAGCAAGTCCAGAAAAGAGCTTGCAAAATCATGATAGGATACGAAAACTACACCGACTACGCCTCGCTCTGCCTGCCAGCTTCTCAACCTCGAGATGCTGAGTGAGCGTCGCGATGCTGCCCTCTGCAAGCTGGCGGCCGACATCCTCGCCAACCCCGCCCACCCACTGTACCCGGGGGCCGGGCGAGGAGCTGGCAAATGTGAGGCGCCCTCTGCGCCGGCAGCGAAAGCTTGTCGTACCGCGGGCTAAAACTGAGCGGTATAAAAAGTCCACTGTGCCTGTACTCATAGATCTAATGAACAGGATGTGATCCCCATTCCCCACGTAGACATGTTCGGAGCTCTTTTGAAATGCACTGTGTTTACGGGGCGAGCGAAGCGAGCGGAGTCTTTCCCATATAACGGAAAAATCTCACTATGAGGGGCCCGACCCGGCCTGTAACGCTTTTGAGAGCCTTGTAACTCAGCAACCGCTGGACCGATTTACTTGCGGTAATTTTTGTAGGGTTAGCTTGGTTCCTTCTACCAAGTATTATACTATTTTCGATGCATGTGGGTGACCCCTTATGCACGTGCCATGTGCAAAACGAAGAGGTGTTATTTTTGTAACAATTGCAATATCTCGGTAGTTGCTGGGCCGATTGCGCTGCAATTTTGCATGTAGGTAGGCACCCACTAGGCAATGCATATCCATGTGCCATAGTTGGGGTGCAGCTGCACGTGCGCACGTGCGAGGGTCGATTCCAGATCTCCAAAACAGCTGAACCAATTACGCTGAAATTTGGTAATGGCTAAGGACCGGTTAGTAGGATGCAGAGCAAAAGTTGGGACCCATTTTGCACGTGCGCACGTGCAGAGTGCCGCCTCCAGATCTCGAGAACGGCTGGGCCGATTGCGCTCAAATTTAGCACACCACTAATAACCAGCTAATAGGGTGCAGTGCACGTCAGCTAGAGGTACCCCCTCGAAATTTCGCACGTGCAAGGCCCACACTCGTTCGCTCCGTTTGTCGCCCCAAAAGGCGCTTTACTGGTTTTAGTTTTTGTGATGCTTATCACTTCTTCATGTGGTGAAGTTGGACGCTTGAGCCTCGCGGCTACTCGCCCTAACCCAACAACAACAACAACATTCATGTGGTGAAACCATTACACGGGAGCTCATGTACGGCATTTTTACCAGTTGTTGACTGTCACGTGGTCAACTAAGCCTTTATGTATGTATGTATGTATGGATGGATGGACAGCAAAATGGAAAGATCGATTTTAGCTGTAGTGTCATACACTTACTTTTGATCACCTTCGATTTATCAAATTTGAACAGTTTCATTGCGCCATCGCCAGCCTCCGTTGCCGTCGATTTGAGCTCTTCGATGGGCAGGCTTTTCAGGCAGAAGTATTTCCTAAAAAAAGCAGTACACAGGTAACATCAACCTAGTCATGATGGTTATGGGACTCTTCTTGAAACATCACCTGAAGCTATGGCCACGTCACCCACTGAGTTGAATTGTCGTGAAAAAATATACGCATTTAGTTGAAAGTTCTTACATAAGTAGAACATCGCTTGATTCATGCAGCATAAAATGCATGACCGTATAGGCGATAAGCAAGTGGGTACACACATGTAGGTAGGCGTATGCAAGGGCACCTACATTCAGTATCGCTTCCCAGCACACGCGCACTTGCTAGACATATACAGCTACCATGACTAGACACCCGACAAATGGAAATTACCATGTGATGCAGAAAAGGTCAACACAGCTGAGGAAACATCCCTCGTGTCGGTTCTAGCAAAATGAATAACAACAATTCAGAAAATCGGAACAATAGCAATGAAAAGAAGTGAAACAATTAAAATCTGTCAAAAGACAGGTAACTTTATACCTAAAAGCCGTTTTCACGACGGCCATTAGGTACACATTTGGTGTACATTTGGTGTATATTTGGTGCAGACTTCGTCAAATTAGACTCAGCGTGTTTCTTAGTAGCTTTCGGCTTGGGTTACACTATGTAATTGCTTATACGTCTGCTTTATCAAAGGATCATTCATTTTTATCGATTAAAATTGGGTTAATGGGCCGTGTCAGAGCGTTTCTTTCGGCAAGGGAGCTTTTACTTTTATACAACAGTATTGTTCTTCCTCATCCTAACTACTGTGCTGCCATATGGGGTAATGCGTACCTACACAGACTTCATAGAATAACGTTGCTTCAAAAGAGAGCCTTAAGGATGATTGATAACAAACCTTTCCTTTACCCGTCCCGTACCTTATTTGTTAAACACGGTAGGGTAGTGTGGGGTAATTTGAACATATGTTTACGTCTTCTCCGTTGTACCAAATTCCAGCTCAACCCTGGATGAAGAAAAACTGTTTCAGTAGCGCATGTGTCACTTGCTTTCACCATGCAAGCCTCATTTTTTGACGAGCCGAGCATACCTTGAATAGCATAGCATCACTTCTCCACCAAGTCACGGTGTGTTCAAATTGCCGCACCGTGGGGTAATTTGAACATACTGCCTTTACCTGCCATAAAAACGATATGTAGTCTCGCCAGCATCGATGTTGTTTGACCCATAAACGAATAGGCAGAGCAATTCTAAACATACCTTCATTTGAAAAATCGACACAACAACAAAAATAACAGTTGCAGAGTATCAATATCTGCACGCTGCACACCGGTCAGTTGGCAGAATTCGCCTCTCTTCAATTAAAAAAAACGTCTATCATATCCGTTCGATAAAAACTCTACCAAACCTTACTTTATCTGTTATAGTGGTGCCAATCGGAACCTGGACATTCGGAGTTCCGATTCTTTATAATGTCCATTTCGGAATTGATTGCACAAATGTATAATAGCCTGGACAACATTGGACGATGGCCTGCATTTTTATCAAGTAATCGTGCGTAGCATTGATTGGCGAATGGAAAGCTTGTTAAGCTCTCAATATAATAAACACTTCTCGGCTGGTAAAATTACATGATAATCAATATAAATGACGGTTTTGAGTGTTCATAGCTGCATAATTTTCGGACATATTTGGACAAATAGTTGACTTTAACATTTTTGGACGGAAAATCAACGAAAATGCCGGACATTAGACGGATATTAGACGTACATTTTCTAAAACTGGCATCACTTATCTGCTACTGCTTTGGGTCGAAAATATTGGCAAAAAAAAACTGGGAGCGTTGTTTTTTTCGGATCTATCCCTGTCTTCATTGAAATTATCACACTATGTTCAAATTAACCCACGCTAAAAGTTATTTTGCCATTTTTAAAAACAGGGTTCAAAAGCAAATTTCTTGGATTGAAGGCACTGATTAGGTCATTGTACAACAGATGCCGTTGCGTATTAGGCGCTAGCAATGCAAGATTTTGCGCTGCAATGAAGTTGCAATGACGTGTTGTTAGGCGCTTTTCCTTGCGAAATTGATTTTTTACACTGTGCGTCAACATCTTCATTCCCTGAAACTTTAAACCCCGTTCATATGATAGCCCTTTTAGTTACGATAATTTCTCTCATTGGTCTTATTGTCATGCCACTTATGGATTTTCCGTAATTTTGTGTTATTCACACTATGTTCAAATTGCCCCACATGTTCAAATTACCCCACCCTACCCTATCCTTAAAATGCCTGAGCTTACGAAACTACAGACAATCGTTATTCTACTACCTTTTTTGACTGGAATCCTTCCAGCTGAAGTGTCTGACCTATTCAAACTTAGCACTTCCATTATTGTGAGGTCGCCTGAACATTTTGTTACGCCCCTTTCTCGTTTTAACCCTCGCCCGTAAACGGTGTTTTGCCACCTTCGCCCATGCAGGGGTTGGGGGTTGGTGTGACCCCCCCCCCTGGCGTTTGAAAACAGAGCGTCGTAGAGCTTAGCGGAAAAGACCAACGGATTGCTCTCAACGAGATCTCCTGATTGGTGGTATAGTTTTTGGTCCTAGGTCAACATTTGACCTACTTATGACCGGTCAAAGGTCAAATTTTCGGAAAAAAACTAACTTTTTCAGATTTCCGCGCCGATTGTGGCAAAACAGTAAGAGATATCGACTTAAAACCTTCACTATCGTGATCCTGGATCAATTCTCTATCGTTTGGTGTGTATTTCGATGTCATAACTCTAAAAATGATGCGTTGGGAGCATCGGAAGTCTGCAAGGTCATTTGTGCATTGGGTCACGTCAGGCGTGTGACGTCACTGACCTGACCCTGACCCAAAATGAACTACAAGAAACAACCGACGATGCCTGAAATGGATAGCAAATTCGAATTCAAGGCATCAAAATACCCCGAAAAGCCATACAAGTGCAAGAAGTCATTACAGGTCAATCGAAGTCACTGACCTTACCTTGACCTTTAGTAACCTTCAAAATGTCAACGGACATTGTGCCAATGTCAAATCAGCCAGTTGTGATTCTAAAACAATCCATCAGTGTGTCAGGTCAGTCGGCATTTATACCAATGTGAAGCAATCTTCAATTTAGCGTAAATCTGGCCGGAGGTTGTTCCCTTTATGACGTCATAACTCCGTGACCTGACATGACCTTGACAAAAAAAAATACCAAAAGTTGCGCAAAGGATGCCCCAGAGGGTACTGAAAATTTGAGCAGGCTATCTGAAACGGTTCGGCGTGTAGCTAAGAAAAACCTCAGGGGGGTTGCACCAACGTGAAAACGGCTTTACATGGGCGAGGGTTAATTTCCGGATTTCTTCCATTTCGTTCAGTGCTCCTAAGGCATGGAATTCTATTGTTGCCAAAGACTTCCCTCAACTTACCGATGTCCCCAGAAGCAAGGTTATTCTTAAAAAGTTTGTTAAGTCGGTGCTCATTAACCCGCGCCCCGCTGGGGGGGGGGGCAGAATCTGCCCCCTCACGTTTTTCGCTAATAACTTCTAAACGCGTTATGCCAGCAGCGTGAAACTTTCAGCACCTTATCATACATCAATTTGACACGATCCCTGAAAATCTGAGCGAAATCCGTCGGAAACCTTTTGAGAAATTGACGGTTTAGAGACGTCATGTTCGCCATTTTCGCCTCAAAAACGGCAAAATTTCAAACGCCGCTAAAATCTTCAATTTTAAAGGAATCAAGACGTAACAAAAAGGGTATACGTGATTCTACTGTGTCTATCAAATGGCTATCTCGGTTTTTTGAAAATTTTGGATTTTGGCCCAAATTGTTTGTTAAAAAACTGACTTTGTTGGGAAAATAATTATAAAATCCAAAATTTTGAGGGTATAAAAAACGCAATATATGTCAGAGCAGTGATCTATGTGCACCTACATACTAATTTTTAGAAGAATTGGTTCAAAAATGTGGGAGTTATTCAAAATTTTATGACGTCACGACACACAAAATTTTGAAAAATGATTATTTTGGAAGTTTTAGACCTCGTACGGAAACGAACATAGCACCATTCGATACGCCGTGAAAAACTGCATCAGATAGACACCTTTTTAGACTTTAACAACCAACTTCAAAATTTGACCTTACTTGACCTTGACCTGAACTCGACCCCAAGTTCATCCAGAGGTGGTCCATATCACTTGTTGAGTGTGCCTATTGAATTCGATGAGTAAAATGGCCCATAAAACATGTGTCGCACATGCCCTTTTCTATATTTTGTTTTTGGTGACCTGACCTGACCTGACCTGACCTTGACCTTGACCTTTGAATGACATTTTTGCAACGACTATTGTCTTGGTAGTCTAACCCTCGCCCGCACATGGGGGGGGGGTTGCCACCCCCCCCCCTCTGCACTCAACATTGTTAGAGCTAGAAGGCTGATTTTTCGTATAGCTGCTCCGCTATCCTTTCTTGATGTCCACTGGAAATTTCAAGTTTCTGTGATTTTTGGTTTCGGAGATATGACCTTGTTTTTCCGGTCATGTCATGACCCAAATGGCCAATTCTCAACATCTTGCGTTTGCCATGGGCCTTGTGGGCTTTTGACACCCTGATTTCGGCCTTTTTTGCCAGTCTTACCTCCCACCTGTCATGGAACATGTTGTTCGACGATGTACAGGGGTCAAGGTCAGGGTCAAGGTCAACCTAGGTCATCTAAGATAATTGCGTTTTAGGCAAGCTGAATTTACTTTTTGTGAAGTTTTTTGACTGCATTTTTGGTAAAAGCTTCTCAGATCATGATTTCATGTAATATGGACCCAAAAACAATGGGTACACACATCAGTATACACACAGACACACACAGACATACAAACACATATAATTGACCTTGACCTAACTTGACCTGAAATGACCTCAGCAGCAAAATTCTGGTCGGGTAGTGTGACAAAGAGGTTCTAGCTGGCTTGGCACCAGAAAACAGCATCGTCATCGGTATTTGATAAGCAGCGCACTTGATATCCAACGGTGACCCAAAACAGCAACATTTTTTAGTTTGACCTGACCTGGAAGGTCAATGACTGACCTGAGGAGGTAAAACTGGGTATCATTGGATTCGTCTCTTCCCAAAGAATCTTGTTGGTCCTTACCGCTAAGCTCTATCTCCAACAGGAACGAAATGGCGCGAGGTGGGTGGCAACCACCCCCATGTGCGTTCTAGGATGGGAAAATGGCATGTGCGGGCGAGGGCTAAGAACACGTTTTGGGCAATCAGTCTCAGTCCATTCTTCGGCAACTACGGTGCAAGGCCGATACTGTAGAAACTTGCATTTTGTACCCTTGACCTGACCTTGACCTGACCTCTGACCTACTTAAGCAAAAAAAATTGGGCTCTTTAGATCCGCCTTGTTGAGAGCTTTCGATTGCCGTTTTCCCCGTCTTTCTACGACCATCGGTTCGGAAGTTAGACAGGGGGGGCAGAATGTGCCCCCCCCCCCCCAGCAGGGCGCGTATGGCTGAATAGCCCAGCGGGGCGCGGGTTAAAGAATATGGCGATTAGGAGAACGAACCCGTACGTTACATTTTATATAACTGAGCTAGATCAGTTTATGGCGTACTGTGTGATCTGTGATGTCATCCATGCTTTGGCCTATTACCTCTACAATCGTTTTTCTCGATTATTTGCTGAGTTTTTTTCAATACAAATATTGTGACCAGTTACTTAATACTCATTTGTTTTTCTCGTGATATATTTTTATAAGGACAGTTAATTAACGCGTAAATCACCTGATAAACTATTTAAGTCTCTTTTCTACATGAATATTTATTACGCAGTTTTCGTCACGTGTTCTTGTTGTTGTTTTTCCTTTAGCTTTGTTTATGCATACATTGTTTGCTTTTTTCATATTTCGTCTCTTTTTGTTCTTATCCTACCTAACCATTGTCAGCCCTGGGTACTCAGCGGACGTCACTAGCCATGCTATCTGTCTGCTGGGTCCCCAGGGGTAACCTTTTTACTAATACCTGTGGTGGCGGGCTGACCATAGCTAGAAAAAAGAGCGGGGAGTGATGTGACCTAATATGCTTGAATTCCCCTCCTTGAATGAAGTTCTGTGGTACTTAACGTAGCCAGGTCACATGGGCATGGAAGGGCACTCCTGCATACCTCTTCCACTATGTTTCACATGGTGGACAATTCGATAGGTATGGGACAAAAAAAAAACACAAAAAAAAACACTGAACTAAATTATTGATAAATGAGATATTTGCTGTAAAAGATATTTGGTGCAGATTTTGTCAAATAAGTGCGTTCGTCACGGAGCCCGTCGTGAAAACGGCTACTGAACGCCTACAGCTCAAGGCCACACTAGTGCTCATTATTGTTTCGATGTTCATCGCCAGTGCTATTTTTCCTCACCCTTCAGCCTCGATGACATTGTATATTCTTCGGCTAAGCACCCAAATAATGGCCTTCTGCAATGTGTCGGCTGGCACGGAAATCATGTTGGGTTTGAGAGCAGAAGAGATGTAGAAGGTTGGGAGTGTTTCTGCGAAATAGAATAGACACAAGACAGTTATAACTACTAGATTGATCTGACACTGATACCGTTGCGTGATTAAGCATCTAATATAACGATCAAACGTGCCTAGTCCGATGGTAGTCGCGCAAATTTTGGTCAGAAGCAGAGTTTTCAAGGTCCCATGTTAAAGGCATGGCTTTTAATGACAGGAACTATTGCATGAAAGTGTTCAGACTCATGAGCCAACGGAGTCATTTTCAATTAAATACTACCCAATAAATTTGCATGTAAGGTAAACTCACGTTCATCAAACTTGATCTCCATCTGATTACCAGACGCTCTTCTTCCGCCGGAGCTTTCCCGTCGCCGGCGATAGCCTTATGGGACAAAGTAGCAGGCGTCAAGATGTAAAATGTATAACCATGTTAGCAGAAACTTTTAGATGGAGGAAAACAAAATATCGGTGAGAAATATAACAATGCACAAGGATCACGGGGCATAATGATATCAAATGGCAACTATACATTAGGTATATTTTTTTCCAGAACTATGCACAGCATTTTATAATATTGAAAAGACTAAGTTCCTATGCTATATTACGCATATTTACCAATCCTGCTGTTGTGCATAAGGCAAATAGGTGTCACTGAAAAAGACGGATGTGGCTCGGCAATTAGAAAAGGAGAAAGCTTTTGTTGCATCAATATTTACACGTGAACACAGTCTTCCCTAGCGAGGCGTTCAGGGCGAGAGGTGCACGACTCACCGGACTGATGCCGGTGCCGGCCGGACTGCAGGCGCGCCCGGTGCGTGCAGCTACCGCCGTCCGCACCGCCGCACGAGCTCTTCCCGCACACAGAACACGGCTGACCTGCGGCCCACGTAAGTACACATACCGTCACGACCGGTACTATTGGACGGAACAGTGGTTGGGGCACTTCCACTCAGGGTTGTACTTGACTCATGAGTCGAGTCAGAAATTTGACTCAACTCCGACTCAAATAAGTCAGATTTGTGTCAAGTCGGATAAAATGTTGAGCTGTTGAGTTGAGTCAGAGTTGAGTCGGACAAAAATATTAAGGTGTTGAGTTGAGTCAGAGTTGAGTCAGTAAAATAACTTTTGACATTGAGTTGAGTCAAACATTTAGGAACATGAGTCAGCTGACTCAACTTTCTAGAAACAATATATATATATATATATATATATATATATATATATATATATATATATATATATATATATATATATATATATATATATATATATATATATATATATATATATATATATATATATATATATATATATATATATATATATATATATATATATATATATATATATATATATATATATATGTTACGGGCCAAGTGCGAAGGCTAGTCCGTTTGCGAACGGACTAGTCCATTCGCGAATGGACTAGGCCGTTTGAGCGTGTGTGCCGTTACAAGTCACAGCGATTGGTACCCGATTTTAAGGTCTCAGGTTAACCGGTAGCGTCTGAGGTCAGGTCACGTGACTGAAGTTACGGGTTCGGTTTTTAGTAAATAACTTCGCAAAAAATGGCCGCAGAGCCGCGATTTTGGCATCATTGTGTTTGCCTAGCTCAGGTGCATCGAATGGTATACTTTTTGCTAGGGTGAGGTCAACTTATGTAGTTGACCTCGGGTCAAGGTCAGGTCAGAGCCCCTCAGGTCACGAAGCTGGGCAAAGGGTATCATATGGCATATCATTCGATTCGGAAGATCTTCCCGAGTCCATTGGTGGCTTTCCCGACTCTCTAGCTCCATTTGATCGGGAGTTATTGACGAAAAACTCGTACGACCCTAGTGACGTCATAAATGACGTCACGCAAGGTTAACAATGCAAAAGTAAAGCCTTGGACTTTGCAAGGAGTGCATGAAATCACGATACCATGTACGTGGGATAGTTTTAGATCATTCTCGGCGCCAAAATAACAGTTTTTATATTTCCCATTGATTTATAACAGTGATGCCACGTGACCGACCTGACCTCATGTAACCTTGAAAAATTCCCAGATATACAAGTTGTGAGACCTCTGGAGGACACCATGTATGCGTCCTGTAACTTTCATCTCGGACAGCTATGGTCATTGGCGTCCAAAACAATGTCAGAACCAAACTGCCTTTTTCACCCTCGCGCTTATAGGAAAGAGGGTTGAATGAACCCTCTTTTCACTTTTTTTTCAGATGACTCAGACTTGAATTAAAATTTCGGTAACCCGTGATGTCACTAGGCAGCTTTACCACGCCATTTGTAAGCTCCCCTCCCGAAATCACTATTCGATACCGTTATCGTGACGTAAAATAAATACATTTATAGAAAGAACACCTTCCTAATTTTTTGCATACTTCTTAACAATGAGCCAAGTAATTTTTTAAAGAAATAAAAATTCAAAAAAATTTGGTCCCAAAGACCAAAAAATACAAGTGAAAGAAAACTCGATATGTCATATATCAAAAATAGCGTATTTTTCGAAATTTCAAAAATACATATTAATCTCTGTTTCATTGCAAGTTCAATGTTATATAACATTTGGCATTTGAATAATCCGTCTTAGAGTTACAGCCCGCCAAACTTAGCGCTGCAAAGCAAGATCCAAAAAATGTTATACACCATAACTCAAAAAATACTTATCTGATAAGCCTGAAATTGTTACAGGTGGATTCAGAGCCCCGGATTACCCCTGAGACCAATTCTCGTCAAATTCCGAGAGATGAGGGTGTCAAATTGGAAAAAAGTGGTACGATCTATCGTGGAATGCCCCAGCTGGCGCAACTCTGGGTTAAGGTCTCCACACACCTGGTCCATTCGGGATGCGACTTTCCGCTGAACCCTGCACAACGCGGAAATTATAGCAACGTGTTGCCACTGGCCAGGCTTCGGCCACCGATCTGGATCTGGGGAGGTCAAATATCCCCGTGACCTTCGAACAGCGGAGAGTCGCGTGGTGTGCGGAGACCATTAGTACCGTGATCCGGGCTCCCCGCTGATGACCCGACCTGACCTTAATTGGTAGAGTTTGTGGCGCTCGATTCATTCTGCTCTGGTGTGGTGTACTGGGACGGTGCGGCTTGTGTGTGGTGAGTGCGGTGCGGTGAGTGTTCGAAAAACTGTTGTGTTGCATTGCATTTAACAATACGCGCACTGCAGGGGGGGTTGCTTTCAACCCCCCTGTGGTTTTTCACAGATCACGAGAAAACGGCGGCGCGCAGCAAAGCCAAATTTTGTATACCTTTTCTCCCATATTCTGCGCACATTGTGTGAAAATGCTGACTCCAGATGACCTAAGGTCAGGTCACCAGGCCAGGTTAAGTGACATCACCTCCGAAAAAGTTTGCACTTGCACCAAAGCTACAGCTGTTGAGCAATCGATATGAAACTTTAAGGATGTAGTAAGGGTGACACTGACCCGCTTTCCATGGGCACTTTGAGACATAGCGGATTACGGGAGGATTAGGGTTGTAATTCCGACCCGTACTCACGGAACCCATGTTTTTAAGTGGATTAGGGTTCGAATGCCTCCGTTTTATCGGCTGAGAATAAAAAAGTATCGGAAATTACGGAAAGCAGGCTGTAATCGCACTAATCCTTTATTTCACTGATCCGTTCAGTGAAATAAAGGATTAGTGAAGGTTGAAATAAAGGTTAAAGGTTAAAGGAAATAAAGAAATAAAGGTTGAGTTACCAATACTTTGCACGCATCATTTCACACGGGATGTTGCACATGCCAAGTTGACTTGCCAAGTTGACGTCACTTTGCTGGATATTTCGCACTTGGCCTGACTTCGCACTTGGACTGGGAGCATAAACGCCCGTCCATTCGCAAACGGCCTAGGCCAACTGCAATAACGCACATAGACTAGTCCATTCGCAAACGGCCTAGTCCAAGTGCGTTATCGCACTTGGACTAGGCCATTCGCGAATGGACTAGCCTTCGCACTTGGCCCGCAACATATATATATCTCGCTTAACAACTAAGCCCTGGCCCTGCTGCCGGATTTTTTCACCCCCCCCCCCTCAACAACTTTTTTATCTGAGTCAATTTTGAGTCAACTCACTTGACTAAAAAAAATTGAGTCAAGTTTGAGTCGACTCATATTTTCATTGAGCCGTTTGAGTCATGAGTCGAGTCAAGGGAAAAATCAACTCCTTGTTTGAGTCAGAGTTGAGTCAGAGCTTTCTGAAGTTGAATGGTGAGTCGAGTCGGCAATTTTTTTTTAGGCGAGCACAACCCTGCAGTTCCACCTTCCGCTGAATGAGCGTCAACATGGTGTTGACTCAACATCATACTTCTATAACGCGTCACGGAAGGCTGTAGGATGGCAATGAACGAAAGACACCCGGCTATTCGGAGCTAACTGTTGCTGTGAACTCACCAGTGATCTCGGAGCTGTCCACCTCCTCACTACCACTGCCACTCAGTGTCCTGTGACCTGTGGAAACCGACAAACAGTTGAATATTAAAACTGCACGTGTACTAGCCGGTTATCAAATAGAGACGCTATTAACCCGCGCCCCGTTGGGCTCTGCCGAGCAACGCGCCCTGTTGGGGGGGGGGGGCAATTTGGCCCTCCCCTAAGATCTCGAGAACCACGCAACCTAGCGACAAGCGGCAAAAGGTGATGGATAGCCCATCAGGGAACTACCTTGTGACCCAATTTTATTGACGTAGGTCAAACCGATGACGTCACAGGTCAGGTCAAACGTCGAATATTCACCGTTTACAGGCATTTCAAAAAATGCGTTGTAAAATCGAGTAAAATGCATTTCATTGAAAATCATCGATGGGGAAATGTTCTTCAAACACATATTTTGCTATTTGAGGTCACTGATACCAGGTCAGGTCACAGAGGTCAGGTCACTGAGGGTCATATAATGAAAATATCATGTGATGCATGTATTATGGTCCATTTTATATGCAAAATACGATTATGTGGGTCAGGCAGCCTTTGGGGTCAGTTTAGAGTATGTTCTGGTGAAGGTCAGGTCAAGGTCAGGTCAAATTAGGTCAAATTTCAAAATTGATATTTTTGCATAAAATGGGTATCGATTCGATGCAGCTCGTCACGGGGAGTTCAGTTGTGGTCTTTGTTTTGCCCTACATGGTCTAGAATCGCTACAAATTGAGTTCAAAAATTTGACGTCATCATTTTTGAACAGTTTTTTTCGCTATAACTTGGCCAAAAAACGAGATATCGATCTGAAATTTGGTATGTATATAGAAGAGCGCAGGGACTATCACATATATTCCGGTTTTTTTCGAAATTCGGATTTTTATTTTTCAGAGTTTTTCTTTAAAAAATCAATTTTTTGAATTTTTGGGGGTCAAAAACCCAATAATTTGAAAATCCGAGAAGGCAGTTTTGTAGCGCCGCTTTTTGTCTACATGACAATATAAAGAACTTTGAAATTGCTTGGTAACTGTAGATTTGGTGAGCGTTTTAACCCGCGCCCTGCTGGGGGGGGGGTGTTTGAACACCCCCCCTTGTGGTTTTTCGCGAATATCTCAAAAACGGCGGCGCGGAGCGCCGCCGTTTTTGGTACACCTTATCATACATCAATTCTACACATGTTATGAAAATTTCAGACCAAGGTCATTCAAGGTCAGGTCACCAGGTCACTTGAAGTGACCTCACCTCATAAAAAGTTTCAATGTCTGTCATAGCTACACCGAGTGACCGATCGCTTTGAAACTTTCAGCGATTGCTAAGAGCAATAGCATGTACAAAATGTATATCTCAGAATTTTGATATCGATGACCTAAGGTCAGGTCAATTTTGCGACCTCCCCATTATAAGTCAATGGGAGAAAACTGAAATGCGCCTCTTTTGGACGAAAGACATTACAAACACTCCCAAACACTGAATTACAAGTGGTTCAGACACGCTGAGCATAAAAATGTTGTCCGTGACCCCTGTTTATGCCCTGAGGTCATCTTAGGTCACGAATGGTATCTAACAGTTTTTCGCAAATAACTTTTGATAGAGGCATGCTAGAGCGATGAAAACGCCTTAGCTGTGTTCATCTCGACGATACGGATCGACTGATATGCAACATGACCCTTTCCGGTCAGGTCATGACCTTGACCTGAGGTCAAATTTTCAAGTTGACCTTTCAAGGTCAAGTCATAGTTCATTCGATGCGTCTTGACGAGAGGAACACGATGCCGCTAAAAGGAAGCTCGTACAAGGCTTGGGTCAAAAGTTATTGCAGAAAAACTGTTTCCGAAAAAAATCGGCTATTTTTGCAGTTTTTGCCCCCTGCAGGCAAAACCGTTGACGTTAGGTCAAATCTGAGGGAATTATTCAGAAAGGGCGTTAATAGGGCTATCGAATGCGCTTTTCCGCGGCGCTGTAGCTCTATTGGTTCCCGAGTTATGCGTTGGCTTCTTGGAAATTGTCGACATTCGACCTGGAAATCGGCGAAATTTTGCCTTCAATGACCTCTGGTGACCTGACCTTTGACCTGACCAAAAAATTGACCGAAGTGATTTCCTCCTTATTTTTGACGCTCTTTCGAACGCCGCCTTCCGCGTATCGCTACGTGGCCCAGGAGCCGAGTTAGAAGGGGGGGGGGTGTTCAAACACCCCCCCCCCCCAGCAGGGCGTGGAAATCCAGGACCCCCAGCGGGGCGCGGGTTAAGATTGCATGTTTTTTGGTCATTTTTGCTCGAGTATGACCTCAGTTTGACCTCAATAACTCCTGACCTAAGGTGACCTACGACTTTGAATTTTGTGTGAAGGTGTTAAATTGATGCCCGGGAAGGTACTGAAAATTTGTCGGCACTGCGCGCCGCCGTTTTCTTGCTATTCAGGAAAAACCACAGTGGGCCAAATTGCCCCCCCCCCCCAACGGGGCGAGGGTTAACCGCGCCCCGCTGGGGCTACTAAATTTCCACGCCCTGCTGGGGAGTGTTTGAACAACTCGGCTCCTAGCGACCTAGCGACACTGGGCCACCTAGCGACACACCGCAGGCGGCGTTCAAAAGAGCGTTAAAATACTAAAGAATACTTCGGTCACTTTTAGGTCAGGTCAAAGTCAGGTCACTAGAGATCATTGAAGGTAAAGTTTCGCCAATTTCCAGGTCAAAATTCAACAATTTTCGACGTAGCTCTTTCGCTAACCTGCCCTCAGCTTTGATCTAAGGTCAATGTATTAGCATGCAGGGGTTAAAACTGCCATGGTAGATATTTTTTTTGCGAAAGTTTTTTTTTCTCCAATAAATCTTAACTCAAAACTTATCCGAGCGTACTGAAACGGGCATCGTATTCCTCTCGTCGAGGCGCATCGAATGACATATAAGTAGACCTTGAATTGTTAACTTGAAAATTTGACCTCAGGACAAGATCATGACCTGTCCGGAAGAGGCCGTGTCGCATATCGATCGATTTGTATCAAGCTGAACACACCAAAAGTGTTTTCATCGCTCTAGCATGCATCTATCAAAAGTTATTCGCGAAAAAGCTGCTGCATACCTTTCGTGACCCGATATGACCTAAGGGGCGTAAGGAGGGAACATGGATGCTAATGTTCCGTCATTTTTTTACTTGTAACTCGATGGTTGGGAGTGTTTAGAATGACGTTCGTCCAATAGAGACATTTTTAAATTGTATCCTGTTGACTTCGAAAGTTGCAATGAAGAGGTCGCATAATTGACCTGACCTTAGGTCACCAATGTCAAAATTATGTGATGAACATTTTACACATACTGTTGCTCTTAAGCATTAATGAAGTTTCAAAACGATCAGTCACTCGGTGTGCTATGGTAAGCATTGGAACTTATTTCGAGGTGAGGTCATTTTACCTGACTGGTGACCTGACCTTCGGAAACCTTGGTATGAATTTTTTTTTTACAAACAAGTGTAAAGAAGATGTATACCTTAATAAGGTACGGGGTGTTCAAACACTCCCAGCAGGGTGCGGGTTAACCGTACTCAATCATACTGAATGTGCAAAGGGATAAAAGAAGTTAAATAAGAGCATTTGGATGTGCTATTCATAAATGACAAATAATGACTTTTGTTGGCTTCAGGAGCAGTAAAAACCTTCTTACAAGGCATATATTCTTCATGTAAAATCAAACGTTTCGTCTCTGAACAAAGACATCATCAGTGAAGTTACACACAACAGTACATATTATGAGAAATTAAGCAATCAGGCGACATAACAAGAGCAACACAGTATCGCACATAAAATCATGCATATCATAAACATGCATAAACGTTTCATGTTTCATCAAGGACCCCTAGGTAACGATATCTAATTTATACGCCGACAACTTATCATTGATGGAAGGCCTAGACTTGAAAATGTGAATTTTTGCGTGTGAATAAAAAACCGCGGCGCGTAGCGCCGCGCCGCTTGGGGTAGCTTTTGATACATCAGTTTTGGATAATGTGTGAAATTTTTGACCCCAGGTCATGTCAGGTCAGGTCACCAGGTCAAGTTAACTGACCAAGCCTAAAAAAGTTTGCAATCATGTCCAGCCTACAGTGTTTGTCAGAAAGGTTTCCAACTTGGTGGATTGCATGATGTTATGGGCGCCTACAATTTGTATATCTCGGATTTTTTATATCCGTGACCTAAGGTCAGGTCAGTGGCGTGACCTTTCCATTACAAGTCAATGGAGAAAAATGAAAATGCCTCTAGATCCGTGTGTACGCATCGGAACAGTCCAAATATTTCAGAATCACAATGATTTAGTCCACGCGTGATGACCAAGGTGTCATTTTTGCTGATAGCCTCTAGACAGGTCATCCGAGGTCACTTGAGGCTACAAACAGTATTTTGCCAATAACTCGCGATTGGAAAGAGATAGAACGCTGGGGATGGTCTCATTGTGTTTGTCTTGTTGAGACGCATCGACGGATATGCAACATGACCTTTTCCGGTAAGGTCATAACCTTGACCTGAGGTCAAATTTTCAAGTTGACCTTTCAATGTCAAATTATAGTTCATTCGACGCGTCTCGGCGAGGGGAACACGATTCTGGCAATAGAAATGTTGTGGCTTTTTGTAGTCGAAAGTTATTGTCGAAAAACACTTTTCGTAAAAACAGCTATTTTTGGAGTTTTTGCCCTCTGGAGGCTAAACCGTTGACCTGAGGTCAATATTGATTATGACCTTTTCAAAAGAAGAGTTCAAAAGCTATCGATGGCTCTTCCATGCGTTTTTCTAGCTACCATAGTTCATGAGATAGCGGCATGTTTTCTGAAAAATATAATGGCAATTGGCAAATTTTGACCTGTGATGACCTCTGGTGACCCCAATATTGCTCTAAGGTGAAAAATGACCGAAATACTTTCAAACGTACGCATTGAGGGCTATCGACTGCTTTTTACCGCGTCTTTCTAGCCCTCTTAGTTTTTGAGTTAGAGGTGGGTGGTAACATATGCCCCCCCCCCCCCCACTAGGGCGAAGTTGGCCGAGACCGCCACTGGGGCGCGGGTTAAAATCGTTCAACGAAAATGGTACGTCGCATGACAATGAATGGTCTCTAACAGAAGAGGCTACAGGAGAGGTAAGAAAATTTCCCGTTCTATCCGACTTGCCCTGATGCTGGCAAACTCTGCTATAAAGGCGCACATAGGTCGAGCCTATGTATGTCTCCTCACACGAGGGGCAACTGAACTGATAAACTATAGCAGAGCGGCATGCTTTCGGGATCACGTCTTTAAACGAGAAAAGAGAGCCTATGCTGCGGGTGTTGCGGAGAATGATCTTGGGGTTCAGGTAGGGATAAACTTTTTTAGAGTGGACTCTACCTCAGATCTTAGTTTGTTTGATTGTTTTCCAAAACAAGGCAGCACAAAGTACCTGTCTAGCTTGGGTACCTGGAACATAGTAGGACTTTTTGAAAACTCCTTCTTTAAAAACCTGTGAATGGCAGTCTCTACGTCTCCAAAAACGTTCAAACTTTAATTTAAGAATTCTGGAATCGCTTCACATTTTCAAGTTTAGGCCTTCCATCAATGATAAGTTGTCGGCGTATAAATTGCATATCGTTACCTGGGGGTCCTTGATGAAACATGAAACGTTTATGATATGCATGATTTTATGTGCGATACTGTGTTGCTCTTGTTATGTCGCCTGATTGCTTAATTTCTCATAATATGTACCTACTGTTGTGTGTAACTCAATGTGTAACTTCACTGATGATGTCTTTGTTCAGAGACGAAACGTTTGATTTTACATGAAGAATATAACGATATGCCTTGTAATAAGGTTTTTACTGCTCCTGAAGCCAACAAAAGTCAGACTTCTTGACGCAATTGAACGAGACCATGACAAATAATGATATTGCCTTTTTCAGCATTTACTCCACATAATTTATTTGTACCGGCTTGGTAAGTGTTATTCTTTTTGGTTCTGCAACTTCCCGAATGTGACTTACGCAGGCGTTCGCTGCATGTTGTGCACGTGTTATCCCCAGAATGGACGGAGCCGCCGGACGTCAGCTGCTCCACGTCGCCCGAGGCTCGGTCGGCAGGCTGCTCCGGGACGTCCTCCGCAGGCTGCACCCCGCTCCCATCTGCCGATAAGACCGGATGAAAATGTGTCACGCTCACGTCAGAGGCAGCTCAGGCACTCTGGTCGCCAATGTAAGGCACCGATCATATAGGACGGTCATGACATTACCCGCACAAGCTTTTAGGGTAAAAAGGAAAACGGAAGTTTGTTTGCATACATTTCTTACATACCTATCCACTTTTGTAACCTGTATCGCGTGGTAATTGGTAACTTGGGAATTAAGAAATTCCAGCTAAGTACAATGATAGTAGGGTAGTACGAAGCTGACACAAAAAGTGCAAGAATGGACAGCCAACTAAGTTCATTTTCATCATTTCTGTAGCCTTGTATCTTTACAACTGTCCTTGCGCTCCGTGTGGAAGTAATGAGAAGTATTGTAGCTTAGTCGAGAACAATATAGAATGATAGCCTTTTACGAGCAACCTAAACGGCTTGCAGTGCGCAGTCCATTGAAACGTCGCCAACGTTTCCGCCCAATATCCTTCGTGATATATCAGCATACCTGTTGGTTGCAAAACTGGCAACTCGTTTTCAAGATAATGTACATACATGTAAGATACAACTCAGTGTAATTGGAATTAGCGCCTGTGGAAATGCAGTGCAGTGCAGTAGCGTCTGCACTGCACTTCCACATAGTGCGGGCGGATAGTTCTGTTGAAGTAGGTACGACTCGGTGTTGTGACTGGCGTCGTTCCGCTGCGCTACTGGTGGCCGCCGCACCGGTCCGCTGACCCGCCGCGCTGCGGAGAGCCACGCCTCTGGCTGCGCGCTGGCCACTGACAGGCCACGCTGCGGAGAGCCGTGCCTCTGGCCGCTGGCCACTGACAGGCCGCGCTGCGGAGAGCCTCGCCTCTGGCCGCGCCTCTGGCCGCGCGCTGGCCACTGACAGGCCACGCTGCTCACCTGCTGAGGCCTCCTCCGACTCGGAGGAGCTCCTGGAGCAGGGCACGCCGTGCAGGCCGGCCAGAACGGCGGCCAGCACCAGCGCCGACAGCAGCCACCTGCTGACCATCGCGGCTCAGAGGACGGGCGGCGACGAGACCGTGCCTGAGCCCGCCGGCGGCCGCGGCCATTTTATACCGGTGGCTCGGCTGATGACGGCTCACTCTGCGTCCGTCAGCGGCCCGCTGACAGCCGTCAGCACCTGTCCGCGCCGCGCCCGGAGACCGCCGCCGCAAACAGGCTGACAGCCTGTTTTCGTCGCCGACCCGAATCAATCACGGCAGAGCTGTTTGCTCGCCCATGTGTCACCGCGCGGTCGTCAAAGTCGGATTGATTTCGGCGTTTACCCGCTCGAAATATTAGGTACTTTAATTCATATCCAAAGACTGTGCTAAGGCTCCAAGCCAGACTTGAATGGTATGAAGCAGTTTGCTGTAGGCGGGGTAAGACGGTCAGGGTTGTACTTACTATAAGACGGGCACCCCCTCTGCAGATCAAACCAATAGCGCTACGAGCGAGAAAAAAATAGGGCCAGAGCTGCCTTTCCCACCACACAACACCATTGAAGCCTGGTGAATTTGTGTTCAGTCAATTATCTTTTATTTCAATTTCTTAAAAACACTCCTTTCATTGAAAACATCCATAATGTATTGTGCAAACTTTTGTGTGCAGCACAATAGAGTTAAAAGCTCGCATTTACTTGTGGTACACCCATATGCCACCAGTATTCATTTACAGCGGAACTGCTCTGCTGTCAAAATGTCCACAGAGAAAAATCATGCGGAACATCTGACATTGAGTTTGGGGTAAGACGGATCCAATGGGGCGAAAATATTTATGTTGCTGTAGGAAAAAAGAAGCATTTCTGGTGAAAATATGTTCGATTCCAATACTCACAGACCAATACAATATCCTCTAAAAATGAAAATGAATGACGGCTTTACAAGGCTTCTTAACCCGCGAGTTTCTGGGGGGGGGGGCATTAAACGCCCCCACTTTTTCGCCGGGCCATAGCATAAAAAATTTTGGGTACCTGTAGATAATTGATTGAAGTTTATTGTGACAAAGTTTCAAAAACATCGGTCGGAAATTTTTTGAGATATCGAGGTTTTAGTGACGTCATGATTTCTGAGTTTTCGACCAAAAAACGGCATATGTTCAAAAAATCATATAAAATCACAGAATAGACATACAGACATGCCGTAAACGCCATTAGACTGCCAATACCATGATCAATCAAATGGCTATCTTCAATTATTGATTATCGTTCCGCATTTTCCAAAATCTTGAACTGAATCTTGGCAATTTTTCGTGACCATGATACATGAATTTCTTAAATTGAACTTTTTGAGCCAAACACGTACACATATGATAAAATGAATGTCACCATCGTGTTCTACGCCCCAAATTACCTATAAAACATGTGTCACAGGCTGCGAATATCAGTTTTGATTTTCGGGGATATGTGCCTACCCGGTTGACCTGACCTTGACCCTGACCTATGCTTGACTGACCCCCATATGGAGCTGACACTCTTGTAGGTCTTATAAGATGGATTGTGCACCGTTTTGACAGAGTTTATGGCGAGAGGCGCCCATTGCGAAGTCCTGAAGTCCATGCTACTGAAAGCCCGATTTCAGGTGTTTGACCTGACCTTGACCCGACCTGTGACCTCAAAATTCAACTTTAAAGTACTCATCTAAAGCGTCTCGTCGCGCTCTTTCGTTTGCCGCCTCGTGCGTTTCGCTGCGCCTATTGGTTCTCGAGTTATCGGCTGGGGGCGTTTAACGCCCCCCCCCCCCCCAGCAAACGGTGGGTGGCGAAATACCCCAGCAACTGCCGGGTTAACTAGGACCTATATACAAGCATACGCATTCTGCACGAATCTCGTATAGGTACTGCCTTTTTCGAAGCACTGGAGGCCAACGAGCGAATGCATCAATGCGGCTAATCTCGTGGTAGCTGGCCGTCTTACCCTACCTATGTGGTCGTTTTACCCCATGGGGCGGGGCAAGACTTTTTTTTGCAAGGTTTTGCAAAGATCGCTACAGTTTATTTGTTGCATCAGCTCGAAGTTTCATCTTCTGGCAAATGGAAGTAAAATGTCTAAAAAAAGGGTTTTCACTCAGTTTCGCTATTTTGTTTCCATCCGGCCGAAAAATGACTTCAAGGTTAGGGTACCCGTCTTACCCCACTTTCCCCTAGTCACACTTTACTGCCACACTTTTACGCTAACTGTTATGCATTATGAATATCTTTAACTCTCGTTGCACTATTGTTATAACTCATCCATATCTACACCCTCGCGGTTGGAGTGAGGAAGGTGGAGTGAAGCGCGACACCACTCGGCGGATAGCCCTTGCGGCGTCGCGAGCTGGAGCACTAGCGGCCATCCAGGAAGAGGCGGTCTTAGATGCTGCGGGGGACATACCCCCAAAAAACTTTATCGACTTCTAAAAGCCCGTCGGATTGCGATTCCTTACGCACTCCTGTGCAGTTTCGAACAAACTTTTCCAGATAAAAGTTGTTTTTATTCTTAAAAATGAAAAACGTAAGTTTTCGTCGATTTCAGGCGCTGTGGTGGGGGGGGGGGCAATTGGGTATTTACCCCAAATGCCCCTCCCCCTGGATCCGCCAGTGAGCTAGAGCGACGAGAATGCACGAGAATGCTGGACACTACAATACACAAACGACAAGGTGCCCGGTTTCAAAATATGTGTTAATCACAAGGTAGCCTCTGAGGTCAGATCAACGACTCAAACATGGGTGTCCATTGCAGTTATCAGGCAGGGGCGCAGCCAGGAATTTTTTGAAGGGGGCTAGAATTGGTGAGGGCGCCAATTTTGGCTCAGGAGGGCGCCAATTTCGGGTCAAGAGGGCGCCAATTTCGGCTTAGGAGGACGCCGAGTAAGGACGCCGAGCATCAATGCCGAGTAAGGTTAAGGACGACAAAATGTACACTCGTTTTTCTCTTACATGGTCACGCGACCTTATTCCACTCAAATTACGGTTTATTCTAGGTATTCCAGATGAAAGCTGCCTTTACTGACGTATTTCAAACAGAAGCGAGACGCGGCAGTCTTGCAGGCAAACACAAACGGCAGCGAATGACTGCATTACTGCATTTTAGACCCCATGGCTCAGTTCCTCCGTCCTTCGGCTCAAATTCAGGTCTCAAATTCTGGTGTCAAGCTTCGTCTGGCTAATGGCTTACGGCCGACCCAAAAACATGGGCGTCGCCACCACTACGGACACTACGGACAGTGTCCGTACAAGTTTTAGAAGGCCCCAAAACTTGTACGGAATGTCCGTACAAGTTTCGACGACCGAAAGTGAGCTTTTTGCATCATATTCAAATTACAAATGCCGCTAAAGCATTATCAATATTGCTAGTTTGCTTGAAAGTATTCAGGATGTTTTAGTTTTGAGAAGGAAGGAAGCAGTCTTTATCACGTTTTTTTCGATGCATATCTACCAGCTCAATGACTGGTAGATGCAAATTGACTTTTTCAATTTGCATTTGTAGATTAGGTGCCGATCGATTCCAGGTGATCGCACAGGCTTGAAAGAATTCGCCCTACACTGCGGAGCAGTTGGCAGGGGACCTCCCCCTAGCCCTGACTCTCTCCTTGTTGAGCAGCAAAGGATACGGAAGGGCAAGGTCAGCAGACTGAAACTGACTAGACCGGGTCGTACCGAACTGAACAGAGTAGGGTGGACGATGAGTAGGGAACAGAGTAGTAGGGCAGGGATGTAAAAATCGAACAGGCCGGGGTTGCTAAGGAGAAAGGAGAATGAAGAGTAGGGGGGGGGGGTCGGATGGACCCCCCATGCTTTTCCGCAAATAACTCGCGCAAAAAAGCGGCCGATCGCGACGAAACTTTCAGTACCCTCGAGTTGATCAATTTTACACCTCTGAAACTTTCATGACCCTGACCCAAGTGACCTTCGACCTGTGACATATTTCCGAAATCGCGATTCGTCGTATGTCGGCTCGCATTAGCCGCGCGTTTGAAAGCTTCTTGTGGTTTCAAACGCTCAAACATGAAATTTTATGCTGCTCCCATGAATTTGGGTGGATGTCAAGGTAACCTGAAGCAGGGCTGCGGAGTCGATGGATTTTCGGCGACTCCGACTCCGACTTCGACTCCGACTTCGACTCCGGCTTTCAAAAACCAGCTCCGACTCCGACTCCGACTCCGGGCAGAATTGTCGACTCCGACCGACTCCAACTCCCGACTCCGACTCCGCAGACCTAGCAGGGCTGCGGAGTCGACAGATTTTCGGTGACTCCGACTCCGACTCCGGCTCGGGTTTCTAAAATCGACTCCGACTCCGACTCCGGTCACAACTGTCGACTCCGACCGACTCCGACTCCGACCGACTCCGACTCCGACTCCGACTCCGACTCCGCAGCCCTGACCTGAAGGTCAGGTCAGGTCATTGACCTTTGGTGACCTCGGTTCACTTTTTCGAGCTGTACATGTTTCTAGGCTAGGTTTTGGAGCTGAAATAGAATTTAGCAATCATTTTAACATTTACAAAATAGTTTTGGTGCCTTCGTAACATGTTACGAAGCTGTCAGAGGCGGTTGACATGTACTACGAATACCCGTCACGACGCCTACTGGTTGACCTGACCTGACCTGACCCGACCTGGTCTAAATGCTTCAAGACATCATCTGTGATCAAAACTAACACGATATTCGTGATCAGCACCCCGAAAAACCCCTTAGCAGCCACACTTTACGACTTTCTAACAGGTCCCGATTTTCCCGACTTTGGGTCATTGACCTGACCTGGAAGGTCAACCAATGACCTAGGACCTTAAAATTGGGTATCATCGGCTTCCTCTCGTCACGGGCAACACGCTCGTTTTTTCCGCGAAGCTCTAGCTCGATCAGGGGCCAAACGGCAAGGGGGGCTCCAACTGACCCCTCCCTACACATTAGAAGCTGGCAATCGCCGCACACATGCGAGGGTTTAAGTAAGCCGCAATGACATTTAGACTGCCGGGTTGTATGCATTCCGTCCCATTCGCTTACCTGTTAACCCGCGCCCGGCTGGGGGTCCTGGATTTCCACGCCCTGCTGGGGGGGGGG